AACACGACAGTTCCTCCTGGTCTCACCCTGATTAAAAATGCAGAAAACAAAAGAATGTCTAAGTGCCATACGCATCACAACCATTAAATAACGAACAATTTATAGTTTTGAAATGTACTTACATTTCGTTAGGGATAAATAGGTGTGCACCCAGGATTCAATTTATCATGAAAACGTAGACATATATACCATATGAAGCTGGTAAAACTTAGATACCAAAAAATATAATGAGTTAATTGGTTTATGCAAATTGCAAAATTAAAACCTTAAAAAAAATTATAATGTATTGTTTAAATCAAGTATTAAAATAGGGGAACATCAAATAAAACGGTCCCGTAGCTCAGTTGGTTAGAGCGTTGGTCTTATGAGCCGAAGGTCGCGGGTTCGAGCCCCGCCGGGACCACTTTTTTTGCCAACCCACTTCGGTGGGTGCAAACTTCAATCCCTTCACTATTTTTCAAGTGTGTTTACGAATAACATTAAAATATCGGGAGAAAAACTAATTCATTGAAACCATTTATCATATTATCGATTCGGTTTAAAATGCAAAATTGTTTGATATATTGATTTTTTGTCAGGATTCTTTTAATATATAAATCCGTCAAATTTATCAAGACATAATTATAAAATAATTAGAATACAATAAAATATTTTAAAATGCAAAATTGTTTGATATATTGATTTTTGGTCAGGATTTTTTTAATATATAAATCCGTCAAATTTATCAAGATACATAATTTTAAAATAATTAGAATACAATAAAATATAAATCCAATCATTAAAATACAAAGTCAAAATTTTGAATACAAATTTACAATACATGTCCAAAAATAATACACATAATGAGATAATGTGAGTTTTAAATATTTGATAGTGATTGTTAGAAAAAGATAGGCAAGAGCTAAGAAAACAAATTTACACCAAAAAAAAAATATGTTTGGCTTTTTTTTTTTTTTTTTTTTTGTAAATAAAGAGGGGCTAAGCCCCAGAAACAGAAAGAAATTACAAATCAGAAACTAACAAGCTAGACATATTTCTAGCATCAGCAACTATAAGTTCCATCAACTGAGGAGGAGGATCTTTAAAAATCTTGAAATGGAGATTATTAGTCTGCCCAGCTTTAGCTAACCAATAAGCACATTTGTTGTTTTCTCTCTTGGTATGAACAAGATGAATAGTCCAATCTGCTTTTAACCATAATCTCAATCTGCTAGTGACTTGAGAGTCCCTAGGATCTTCATGCTGCTCCTTTAACATCTGGATGGCTTGGCTAGAATCACATTCTAGCTCTATTCTTTTTAATCCTGTTCCCCAAAGCAGTTCCAAACCTTTCAGTAATCCCCATAATTCTGCATCAAGAGGATTGCAGGAACCTAAATTACAATAGAAGCTTCCCAAAAAGGATCCATTGTGATCTCTTAATATACCACCACAACTAGCTTTTTTCATGCCACTAGAAGAAGCTCCATCACAATTCAACTTAACCCACCCTTGCTTGGGGGCTGTCCAAACGCTATCGTTGGAATCACCACGGCGCTGATAAATTCGGGCTTGCAGAATCTGTTGGACAAACATCCAAATTGAAGCCTGTGATTGCTCATCATGACAGAAATGATCTTCATGGATCTCCAAATTTCTCCACTTCCACAAAAACCAACAAGTAGTAAAGAAAATATCCCTCCAGTCCTTCACTTTATTGGAGGACCACATGTTATCGATATTTAAAGTCAACCAATCCTGCAAATTCGAATTCATAAAGGAATTGAGTATCGAACCTGTAAACCAAGATTGCCAAATTTTCCTAGCATGTCTACAATCACGAAGATGATACTCTTATCTTACATGAGAGTAGTTCTCTCGTGTTACAGAGAGAAGTCATGTGGAGCCCACCATTAAAGAATTAAAAAAGAATTTAAACTTATTTAAACTCAAGTACTATGCAATCTGGTTGTGGAGGGGTTATAAGGGATTCAGCAGGAAATTAGATTGTGGGTTTCTGCAGGAATCTAGGATGAACTATGCGCTTGTTTAGTTGGCCTAAATCTCAGTTGGAACAAAAGATTTAAACTTATTTGGTTGGAAGGGGACTCATTGGTGACTCAACATCTCATTAGAAATGGTTGTAGCGAAACACACCCATCTTTTCCTTTGGTAAGAAGCATTCAAGAATTGGTGACCAGAAACTAGAAGTTGCACATCTCTCATATTCATCGTGAAGGAAACAGTATAGCTGATTGGCTTGTCTCCTATTCTTATGAGTTTAATAATTTTAATTGGCAAACTCAAGTATTTGATGATCCTCCACAAGGATGCCTTGAGAGATTATTCTGTGACTCTATAGGAATAGGGTGGCCCAGAATTTGTAGCTAGCTTTTTGGTTATTGTTTTTATCTTCATGTTAATTTCCAAAAGAAAAAAGAAAAAGGAAAAAAATGAGTGGAATTTTCGAAGAGAGATAACATGAAATAATATAAAATGAGAGTAATATTTTCCTTAGTATTAATAGTAAACTTTCAAAAAGTATTGGTAACATAATAATTTTTTATATAAAATATTATTTTAAAATATATATAAAACACCGGTTCAATTGGAAATGGATTAGTTTTTAAATTTAAAAAACTATCCTTATTTTTTTATTTCTTACTTTCGGCTTTTTTTCATATTAAGCTAATAAGTTCGGTTTTGAATACTAATAGTAATAACTGCTCTCAAATACAAAAACCAAAACTCTTAAAAACATAAACCAAAAATAAATAAACATATATCATTAGTATTACCAAAAATAAAAAACCGAAAAACTACTCTCAAATAAGATCTTTAGTACAATAACACATATAATATAATTATTCCTGAAGAGAAGTGAGAAGATAATATTGTTAACTTTCTTAGGGAGACCCTTTCAATTAAACAGATTAGAAACGGCCGTAATAATATCTTACAGCGTAATATCATCACTTCATCATCCAGGTGCATAAAAAATGTTATAGAAAGCACTGAAAACTGAAGGAAAAAAGAAAAAAGAAAAAAAGAGAGATGTACGTAAGGAACTATGAAGTGTGAATTAGACACAATCGGAGGCTTTATGTTAGTGAATTTTACATACTATTTCAAATGGCATTGAAATTTGAGATTACCTATCGATATGCCCCATTATTAGGTGTTTGAAATTCATTAGTCTCCTACTAAAAAAAATATAGAAAAACACTTGTGGGGGAAAAAAAAATAAAAAAGTGAGTATATTGACCTTGTGGCCATAACAAAATTAACATGAATTAGTCTACATTTATTTGTTCTAGGTAGACTGTAAATATTATTGTAAGAGTATGGGTTCAGAGATATCTATGAGAAAAATATTCAATTGGCTCAAGACCAATCTATCAATCACTGCGCACAATCAATACGCTTATAGCCGAATTGTAGGTGTATTCTCGATGTTGACTAGTGACGGACCCAGAAAATATTATTTATGTCCGCATATTTAGTGATAATTTTTTTTAAATAAAATTTTAAATGCATTAAAAAACAAAAAATATAAATAAGAAAAAAAACTTCAACTTAACATAAAAAATTATTCCCAACACCTTTTTTTTATCAAGCTAATTTATTGTATGACATCATAAAATATCCAATAAAATATATGTCATCCTATTTCATCCCACTGTATTCCATTCATTTTCATTCCATCCTTCATTATATATCCAAGCAAAGCCTAATCTAACCAACATCATACTTTACTATTATACTTAAAAAAAAAAATTCTGGAATTCATGTCTGCACTTGCAGACATGGGCTACCAAACAGGTCCGCCTCTGGTGTTGAGTATTTAGGTTCAAGAAGTGTGTACCTGAGAGACTTCCACCCTTTATTTATAAGGGGGGTTACTTGTAGGTTTAGAGTCCTAATAGGAATGTGATTCCTTGATCCTTCATTATCTAGAATATTGTTTGGATAAGTCTTATCCTTATTGGATAGGTTATTGAGATATGGATCCGGTCCATAATAGTTGCCTCTCAGTCCAGCAGTACGAAAGCTCGGACTGCTAGGATGTAGAAATATTAGCTCGACATCAACCTTACCAGGGTGGTTTATCAAGACCTCAACGCAGGAACAGTCATGTATTTAATGCGCTGGGGCGAGGTACTCATCCGACGTATAAAAATTTCCTGAAATTTGACCGGAAGGCATTTTAAATCAAGTTGTGGTAAAAACCTCAACAATAATGTCAAGGAGAAGGTGGTACCTGACTGCCGTCACATCAAGGTGACCTCTTGTTTCAAGTACAGCCTTGACGGTTACGCAAATCCATTTGTCACGTAACTATTGGTGGTTCATGCATCGTGGAGTGTCAGCCGTCCTTATTTTGCCCAGGCTATGATTGCACTCATTAAATATGTCCTTATAAAAATTAGTTCATGCATTGTGGAGTGTGAGCCGTCCTTATTTCGCAAATCCATTCTAAAAATATTTGCATAATGCGTGTAGGAGGGACAATAAAAAAGAGAGAGACCTAAATGAACTATATCCTTCCGGATGACACAATCAAAATAGTTAAAATTGAGTTTTTATTTAAAAGCAATAGCAAAATAAAAAATCGTAAAACATAATATTGTAACGTAAAAATTTATAAAAAAATAAAAGCAATTAAAATATTGAAAAAAACATTTTAATAAAAAATAAGGATAGATTATTCTACCTACCATTTTTTTTTGCCTATCTTTGTCTATCATCCTCTAATATCGTTAGATTAGAATTTTAACTAATATTTATCTTTTTTTTTTTGAGATTTTGATCTAACAGTATTGAAGAATGGTAAATAAATATAAGCAGAAAAAATAATAGGTTGAATAACTTATTCTTACATAATATCGTAAAAATATAAAGCTCAGTTGTAAAATGAGTTTTTAACTGCCATAAGCGCGACAAATATAACTCTCTCTTCTTGCATATCAAAAAAGGAATAACTAGAGTTCCTAACAGAGCTTTCGGTAGAGTGTCGGGTTATTTGTAAACCAAATAAACCGAGCAAAGAAAAGGAAATATGAAATAGTGAGAGTAGGAACAAGGTGAAATTGCAGAGAGAGAGAGAGAGAGATGGTGATGGTGTTAAGAAGCAGTGAACAAGTAATGCGCTCGACTGAATAGCCTGATTCTGATTCTGATCGAACTCTTATTGACCTATGCCGTCAGCATCAGCATCGGTGAGTCTCTTTCTTTCTATTCTTACATCATCTCCAATTTAATTTCGACTTTTTCGACTCTCTTAGTTAAACGGATTCGGGCTCGATTCTCATTTTTCTCAATGATTTTTGATTTATAATTTATTCATGTCTTATCATTTGCCTAAATTGTGTGGAAGTTAGTTTGCACTGTGTTATGACTTATGACTTGTAAGACACTTAGTTACTTTTTCTGTATCAAGAAGCATCATCGGTTGTATCAATTTGCTTTCTCTCGCAGGCTTGGTGATGATGGAACCAAAGTAAATTATACCCCAAACAAGTTTATTTGATTGGATTAGTATTATTCCAGAAAAAATGGGAACTGAAAACCCTGGTCGTTCAAGCTTCCCTTCAAGGCCACCTTTTGGTGCTACACAGACCATGACACCTTTTGCACCAAGTAGTTCCATGATTGGATCAGAACGTCCTTCTTTCCAACCCACTCCTCCTTCTCCTCCCTTGGCCTCTACACCATTTTCAACACCTGGACCTGTGGTTGGACCCGGTGCCCCCAGTTTTAGACCTGAGCCACCTCCTCCTGCTGGTGGACCTTTCCAGCGTTTTCCAATGCCACACTTTTCCTCAACTTCTCCTGCTCCTACTCCACCCATGGGGCAGCCATCAATTCAATCTTCTGCTGTCCAAGCACCATCTTTTCCACCTTCTCTTCAGCCTCACCCACAGACACCTTTTGTTCCAATGGGATCTCCCCCGGGTTCGAATGTTCCTCCTTCGGTTTTTCAGTCATCTTTTCCTGGATATGCCCGGAAACAGACGGGTGCAGAAATGCAAGCTCCACCTATGCATTCCTCTCTCCCTTCCAATCAAGGAAATTATGGACCTGTCCCGCCTGTAGCATCCTCGCCTTTTCTACCTCATCAAGGGAGTTATGTTCCGTCGCCCCCAGCGGCTGCTCCGTTAGGTGTCCATTCCATGCAACAACCAGGATCTGGACCGCCTATAGGTGCCATTCAGGGCTTGACAGAAGATTTCAGTTCGCTTTCAATTCAAACTCTTCCTGGTCTCATGGAGCCATCGGTTGATGCTAAAGAGCTGCCAAGGCCGTCGGATGGTGATGTGGAGCCAAAGTCTATAGCTGAGATGTATCCCATGAACTGTAATCCTAGATATCTACGACTTACGACCAGTGCAATACCTAGTTCCCATTCATTATCTTCAAGGTGGCATCTTCCACTTGGAGCAGTTGTCTGTCCACTTGCGGAACCTCCTGATGGGGTTAGTGCACCATTATCCTGTTTGATTAGCATTAACTCGTACTGGTCATGTTATTTTTCTTTGTGCATTTATGTTCTTTGGTTTCAGGAAGAGGTGGCTGTTGTTAATTTTGCTTCAACTGGTGTGGTACGCTGCAGGAGATGCCGCGCTTATGTGAATCCATATGTGACATTTACAGAAGCTGGAAGAAAGTACCGCTGCAACATGTGCACCATGCTTAATGACGGTACTTTTTACTTTCATATTCTTTACAAATTTAAAAGTAACAAAAGAAGAAACTTGAAATAATCAAATCTCTATTGAGAAGATATTAATGTTATTGAAAGAGACCAAAACTTTAGTCCATCACATTTTGAAATAAGAACGAGCTTGGTGGTTCTGAATATTCATTAATTTCTGTTTTATTCCTATTTGATTGAATATGTGCTCAAAAGGATAGTTGATAAAAGCATGCATATACTTGGCTTGTTGCCTTCGTAAGATGGATTGTGGTGTCAGTGTCGTGGAGGCCAAAGTTTCTCTCAGACTTTGCTCACTCTGTATATTTGTGTCAATAGAGCTGTGTTTGTTACTATCCTGATAAATGGACTATAACTTCTCAATAATGAGAACCATACTGGTAACCTGCGTGCATAATGAAGGACTTCTATGATGAAACTTGCTTGTTTTCCTTTACTGTAGCTTGCACATATAATTTGTTTAATTTATCTTTCTTAAGATGCTAATATATTGAGTGTTATTTACAGTTCCTAGTGAATATTATGCACAATTAGATGCCACTGGCAGAAGAGTTGATTTGAATCAACGACCCGAGCTTACAAAGGGTACTGTGGAATATGTTGCCCCAGCTGAACATATGGTGCGGCCTCCTATGCCTCCAGTATATTTCTTCCTCATCAATGTTTCCATATCTGCAATTAGAAGTGGAATGATTGAGGTAAGCACTTCACTTCTAGCTCTTTAGTCTTTAGTAGCCTTTGTTTTATCTATTGATTCCATTCTTTTGAGTGGCAATTGTTTGTTTCATATGAAATCTAGCATGTACACAACTGAAGCTTGGGGGCAGTGTATAATTTGTACTGCATTCTAAGGATGTCCTGACCAGAATTTTCAGGTCCGATTAAAAAAAAAATTGTATTGATATGCAATATTTGGTATTATTTTTGCATGAAGAGTTGGACTTGGAACCCAGATAGACACTTGCTTGTGATAAATTTTGTTTTTTACTACCCTGAAGAAAAGAGTGGTGCTACAATGTATTTTATCTTAGATTAGTTTATTTTGATAAGCAAGTGATCTACTCGCCAAATTCTTGTTAGTGTAGTTTTCATTCTCACTGAGGTTTCTGCATTACATCTTGAAGATTATTGTAAGTAATGTTTTAGTAACAGGACTGGACCAACTGGTTTGACTTTGAACTAGCTGTATTAAATATCCAGTTAACCTCTAAAAGACAACCGTTGAACTGGTAATAAAGCGTCCAATCTGTTAAAATTGGATTGATCTGAACTGGAATATGTTCTGTAAAATCATCTGGTCTAAACCGTGTCATGTTTCCGCCCACAACCATTGAGAACAGCAGCTGCAGTGTACCTGCAAATCAGTCCTTGCTTCAAAGTACCACCATTAGAGGATGCACAACAGAAGAAAAAGAAGAGATAGGATTGGACCATGGGGGGAGCCCACATACCGATGGAGGAAAGAGGAAGAAGAAAGGGTTTTATGCTTTATGTGCATGTTTGGGTTATTTATGTAGAATTACTTTTGAGTAGAATGCATTTTAAAGAATTAGTTTTGGAAGAATGAGTTTTATGTTTTGGAATATTTGCCAAAAGCAATTTTGAAAGAACGAGTTTTGCTTTGATATTGTTGAGTAAAATTACTTTTAGTGTAAACACACACAAACTTTGTAATATGTACAAAACTGTTTAAAATATTTAAAACTTGGTATGGACAAATTTGTCCAATTATACCAAAAATGTCCAAATGACATTTGCCCAGAATTAACAAAATGTTATGTCTTTGGTCTTGACAAATGTTTTTCTGGGCAACTTCGGTTAATAGAATGCATATTGCATTTGGGGTTACCATACAACTAGTTTGACCCAAAATTACTTTCTATAGTGCAAAATGAAGTGTCAGCTGCAGAGTGCATTTTGGAGGTATTATCCAAAGCTGTAGTATTTCTTGATGTTGATGTTATTGTTCTTAATGCAGGTTGTGGCGCAAACAATCAAGTCATGCTTAGACGAGCTGCCTGGCTTTCCACGAACACAAATAGGGTTTGCAACTTTTGACAGCACAATTCATTTTTATAACATGAAGGTTTGCAGTACTATTAGTATTGCCATTGTTAATATAGCTCCACCCCTGCCTTATTCGGCCAAACTTTATGCTAATTATTCTGTGTTACACTCTTCCAGTCATCCTTGACTCAGCCACAGATGTTAGTAGTCTCAGATCTGGATGAAATATTTGTTCCACTGCCAGATGAACTCCTCGTCAACTTATCAGAATCAAGAAGTGTGGTGGAAACCTTTCTTGACAGTTTGCCATCCCTGTTCCAGGACAACGAGAATCTGGAATCTGCTTTTGGTGCTGCTCTTAAGGCTGCATTTATGATTATGGTATGTTAGCCCCTTTTTTACCTCCTAATTTGAATTTTTTTTAATTATTTCCTATACTAGTTTTGTTTTTCATAGGTAGTGTGCTTTCTTACACCAAATGCTTTGGATATAATTTTCTATTAATTGAAACAGTGGTAAAATATATTTTAAAAGTTTAGTTTCTACTGTACAGAATGAGAGGATAAATGATATCGAGATAGGGAATTCTTAATCCAATTCTAGAAAATCCAACAAACATGAAATTATAATTGGAAGACGCAATTTAAATTTTAATATTCAATTCAAAGCTCCAAATGGGGCTTTCAAGTATATTGCTTCGCACACGAAACAGCCATAAAATCGTTGAATAAATCAGATATATTATAGAGATTAGAGAAGCAACTTGCAGTAATGGAACTCGTGGGTTGCTTAATTTGAAGGACTATTCACTTGGAATTTGTGGAATTTCAGTACATGTTTTCCCATGCATTTAACAGGTCCCTCTTTCTTCTGTATTACTTTATTGTGACCTTTTCACACCTCTTTATGCAGAGTCAACTTGGAGGGAAATTGTTAATTTTTCAAAACACTCTCCCATCTCTTGGTGTTGGTCGCTTGAAATTACGTGGAGATGATTCTCGCATTTATGGCACAGATAAAGAACATGCATTAAGATTGCCGGAAGATCCTTTTTACAAGCAAATGGCTGCTGAATTTTCTAAATACCAGATCTCAGTGAATGTCTATGCATTTAGTGATAAGTACTCTGACATAGCCTCCTTAGGTAACCATTCACAATTTCTACTAACTTCTCCATGCCACGCTTTAAAAGAAAGATGCTAAACATGTTGCTAGGAATTACAAGACTTTTTATTGATATTTGTGAGATGATTCTTTGTTGAAACAGCATTGTTTTATGATGGCTTGCTTCAATTTTTATGGTTTTTTTAGAAACTAATTTTGATAAAACTTGCTTTCTTTTCATTTTCATTTTGACATGCTTTTGGAGTAGATTGCAAACTTGATGACCGGATAATTTTAGTATCCTATAAAGAGTTCTACAGTGTGCATAATTTTTTTATTTTTTTATAAACAGTGTGTACATAATTAAATCGTCACTTCATTTGGACTTTTGAATAATACATTTAATTGAATGACTACCCTAATAATACTTGGCTGTGCCGTTTGATGGTACTGTGTGATTAAGGATGTGTGGAATATCAACTAATACTGTCGCTCAAAGATGTGTCTGCCTAAAGGGTTATCTCCCTTTCTTTAATAACTACTTAGTTGGCATTAGCAGATTATGTGATTATGCATACTCATTGGCAGTAAACAATGCATGGATTTTGTTTTTTCCTGCAATTTTATTAAATTTTCTTCCCTTATATAAGTGGTCTTCTGAGCACATACTCTTGCATGCTAATGATTTTATAGGTGACAAAGTGACTATCTGCTTATAGTTTACTATCTGTGCAGGAACTCTGTCAAAGTACACTGCCGGTCATGTGTATTACTATCCAGCTTTCCAATCAGTCATTCACGGGGAGAAATTAAGAAGTGAGTTAAGGAGAGACCTTACCAGAGAAACTGCCTGGGAAGCTGTAATGCGAATTAGATGTGCAAAAGGTATTTGCATTCATTATGTCTTGCGAATTTTTACCTTGCTTGTCTTCATTTTTTCTTTTGTCTCATGCAGCAAGTATATAAGTACATAAATACATATACAATATCTGATAATTGTCTTTCTGCTTCTAGGTGTCCGTTTCACAACTTATCATGGAAACTTTATGCTAAGGTCCTCTGATTTGTTAGCACTTCCAGCTGTAGATTGTGATAAAGCCTTTGCCATGCAGTTTTCTCTTGAAGAAACATTATTGACAACTCAGACAATGTATTTCCAAGTTGTACTGCTGTATCCTTTCTTCCATAATGCTTGAGATGAGTTATAAACTTACAAGGCACACATAAGTTTGTCTTTGCTGATAAATTTGAATAATTTTGTTTTATTATACTCCCATTCAAAATCGATACACAATGTCATTCTGATGCGATCCATCCCAATAAGAAATATAGGAGGGTGTATCGTAGGAAGAGGTGTAGAGGATTGGTGAGTCAGCGTTAGTTAGTTGGTTAGAACAGTTAGTGGCATGAGTGACATCTATAAAGCAGAAGGTAAGAGCTTAGAGGAAGCATTTGGAATATTGGCTGGAACTTGGGTCTGGGAGAGTGTAGAGCCTCTCGAATTGCTCTATGTTATCATCTCTTTTCAGTTGCTTGCATTCCTTTAGTTCTGTCAATTTGTAATCACTTGTATCAATTTCTTCAATTCTATGTACTGTTGAGACCATTATAGTAATAATACAGATAACAGATTTCTCATTCAAATCCTTTGTTTGTATTCTGTAATTGTTTGTTACTGGTTGGGTCCTTATGACATTCTTACGGTATAGTCATCTATGTTGATCAACTGGCTTGTCTCCCCCATCACATTTTGCATTACGAGATTCTCTTTTTGACCATTGGAAGATTGTTATTTTTTCCCCAATGAACCATGAGACTCAATTTAATTACAATCAAGCTGTCTGGCTTGTAGTTGGGATCTACGATGATTCCTGTTGAGATATATAAAACCATTAATGTAGCCTCACCCAATAGCTTAAGCTTTTGGGTTGAATTGGTTCTTTACATGGTATCAGAGTCGTTCGATCCTTGCCGCCCCCCACTTTCTTTCAAGTGGAATTTCTTTGTTCGCATAGGTAGGTGGGCCTGTGCATTGTCCACTCTTCAAGCCCAGTGGGCTCTCGTGTGAGGGGGCGTGTTGAGATATATAATCCCACATTGGTTGTATGTGCAACTAATGTGGAGTTTATAAGGCCTTAGGCACTCCCACCCTTTGAGCTAGCTTTTGGGGTGGTGTATCCCAAGGTTCTTTACATGGTAATGTGGGACTATATATCTCAACAATTCCTATTTGAGATATTGTCATCATGCAATTTTTTTAGTGTGTCCTTTTCTTCCTTTCTTTTGCTCTTGCAAAAGGAATCATGGGAAAAAAAACTTAATTTTATATTTTTAAAATTTTTGTAGGACATTCAGCACATCCTACAATGCTTATTTTTACTATTTCTCCTTCGCTGTTTTACATCTAAGTGAATGTCATTGCTTGTTATTCAGTTATGGGCACTATGGCAGGATGATTAGAATGTGAAACTTCAAAAAAGGGTTCCATCCCTAACAAATAAATAGATATACTACATCTTGGGGAGAAAGGCGTATGAGAGTACACACAACAGCAGCTCCAGTAGTTACAGACTTGGGAGAGATGTATCGCCTGGCTGATACTGGTGCAATTTTATCTCTGTTTAGTAGGCTAGGTAGGGTAATATGACTTCTATTCTAATGATATCATAGTATGGATCGTAATTGCTTTTGACTTTTTAAACAGTTCCTTCATATTTGCAGCAATTGAGAAAACTTTGACCCAAAAACTTGAAGAAGCACGAAGTGCTGTGCAATTAAGAATTGTGAAAGCCCTCAGAGAGTATCGCAGTCTCTATGCTGTGCAACATCGTTTGGCAAACAGAATGATTTATCCTGAGTCATTAAAGTTCCTACCCTTGTATGGATTAGCTCTTTGTAGATCAACACCTCTCCGTGGAGGGTATGGGGATGTTCCACTGGACGAAAGGTGTGCAGCTGGACACACAATGATGACTCTACCAGTAAAAAGGCTGTTGAAACTTCTCTATCCTAGTTTGATTCGACTTGATGAATATCTTCTGAAGGTATACATTCACTGCCTTCGAAAAACCACCAGTAAAATGGCTTAATTGTCAGCTCCTTGAATTATTTTTGTTTCTGTGGTTTATTTTCAGGGTGATGGCTTTAAAATCTTTGATAGAAGGTTACCTTTGACTGGTGAGAGCTTGGATTCTAGGGGCCTTTATATATATGATGATGGCTTCCGGTTCATTTTATGGTTTGGGAGAGTGATTTCGCCTGATATAGCTAAGAACTTACTTGGGACAGACTTTGCAGCAGAGTTATCAAAGGTATGGTATATTCAATAGAGAGAAGGAGAGAGGACTAGAGAGTATAAGAGTTTATCATATGTCATAGTCACTTTAAGCATTTTCATCTTTTTAAACATTTTTATCTCATTTTGTTAAAATTCTTCTAGGGTGCTTTTTGGTTCTTATTAAAGCTAGTTATATGCCCATGTTCTTCTCCCTCTCTCTCTCTCTCTCTCTCTGTGTCTGTGTGTGGGGGCACATATAGACATTTGTTGAATTATGAATAATTAGCATATTGGTCTTGCTTGGCAATTTTAGAAAAAAATGATAGCAACATGTATTTTATCAAGTTAACGATATTTTCCCACATTTGAACTGAATAGTATATTGTATGTTAAGTTGTTAACCTTAAGTTATATCAATGGAGTATACAGTAGTTATATTTAATATGATATTCTATGTGCATCAGCTTCATGATAAAAATATTTAATCAAATGGATTTTGTGTAAAACACTAAAACTTGTCCTTAATGAGTTTATTCAGTCAGGTGAGATTTATTTAGATTTACGCTAATGTTGATGGGTATCTTAACCTATTGAATAACTTAGTAGAGAAGATATATCTGTGATGTATTCCTCCTATGTTTGTCTAGTTGAATAACATTCATCATCCATCTGGTGCGGTGCATATATTTTTTTTCTTTTTACAGGTCATTCTTAATGAGCATGATAATGAAATGTCAAGGAGGCTGATGAAGGTATTTGAGAACTTCAGAAATACTGACCGTGCATATTACCAGTTGTGCCACCTTGTTAGGCAAGGTGAACAGCCCAGAGAAGGATTCCTTCTTCTCTCAAACCTTGTTGAGGACCAGATGGGTGGTAATAGTGGGTATGCTGATTGGATGCTACAGATTGTCCGACAAGTGCAGCAATCATAATATATAGGTACTGATTGTAGTCTTCTATTAGGCAGTTTTAGTGATTGTAGAAGGCAGGGATTATCTTGTGCCAATCATCCCTGTTATATTATGAATGGCACTACAGTTCCCAGATGTAATCAACATTGCTTACGGGCTGTGAAGCAGTTTTCATAATATATCCTTTGAGTGGAATTTGGATCACGTAAATCTCTTTTCAAAATTGGCTTTGTCAATTAGTGTCATGTTCAGAGTGAGATTTGATTCTCCCACGTTTGACTGTTTCAGAAATTGAAAGTCAATTTCTTGAGAAATACAGAGAATTCGGGTCCCTTTGATGTTTTAAATAGGAGGAAAACTTTATGTAGAATTTAGTTGTATAGTATTTCAGTGTGTGTATATATGTAGTTAGTATCCGTTTGAGATTGATACCTAACGTGATTTGAAAGTAATCATATATCTACATTGTATATTGATTCCCTTTTTAACATTCTTCCTTGGCTTAATATGCAGGGCTTTCGTCAGGCTTGTTTCTTGTCTCATAACTGAAGTAAGGACCATTTCTTTCTACATTGGAAAGAAATTGAATCTAAGCTTGGACATGCACCATGCAACGTAGATGCTTGACTTGTTTAATTGGTCTTGATAAGGGTGCTTTAGGGCGACTGGGCGTTTGATAGAGGAAAAAAAAAAAATTACCCGAAAATCTCGATTTTCAGAAATATGATGAAAACATTTAATTTACGATAATATTCGAAAATTAAAAATTTAGAAAAATTCAGTTTTCCGAAAATTCTGAAAAATATAGGCTACCAAACGAGTTGTTTCCTTTTGTATCAATTAGGTGAACTACATCTTAGTGATCAGATTCAAAGTTCTTTCCTGTCTTGAAATATAGAATAAAACTCTTTTTTATATACGTTGTCATTTTTTGTGGTATATTTCCTTTTTTGATTCTTTGATTGGAGGGGAAAAAGTAAACAGAAATAGAGAAGAGATGGCATGTCAAATCAGTCCGCCAATTCTTGAATTTTGTTTGGTGATAATTTATTCTGATATTTAAATATTGGAACTTTTTTCTTCCAAATCGTGACTTACGAAAACCTCTATTGTTTTTGAGCGAGTGTTCTTATGAGTCTATTCTTGTGATAGATATAGATTTTCAGATGATAATGTCATGCATATTTTTTTATTGATATTAAATAGATGGGGCATTGTGAAAATTTCTTATCTATAAAGAGGGAGATAAATTAAAAAAATTTACGTCAAATTGTCATGTAAAAATTTCACATAAAATTATCCATTTCGATTTTGTGTTGTGTGTGACATTTGGTTGCTTATAATATCTGGTCTTGTATTGTCGGTTCCTAAAGTTATTGCTACCACGACGTGTATTTCCACTAGTAATGCAAGAACCAAATTCTTAATAATGGATTCCATCTTTTATTGCATGTTGCTTATAAATAAAACTCTTACATATTGAATTTTTTAACTCTGAAACTTGATTAGACGAGAATAAATAATGAATGTAATAAATGCACTATATTATTGGTAAATAATTATTGCCGTACAATTACGTGATGAAATTGTGTAAAAACTGTGTATTATGAGTTGGCTAAAAAATATTTGAAAGAGTTCAATTATTGTTACAAAAAGCTAGTGTAAAATTTTTATTTTATTTAAATAAAAGTACTTATCCAAACTTAACGAAAACAATCTATATCGTGTGAAAATTCGAAATGTAGTTAACTGGTTCACTGCGTACAAAATATTTTGTTGGGAAAAGTCTTTTTCGGAAATAAAATTATCTAATGTAACTACTTTCTGTAACTCAAAACAATGTGTTTTGAAGTTTGAGAAAAGAAAATACAGAGTAGTATGAAATTATGCTTGTCTTTAATAATATAATTTTTTTAAAAATACTTTATTCTTTTCCAAATTTTAAAATAATGTCATTTTGAAATCTTAAAAAATAACTTTATATTTTACAAATAAGCAAATGTGATCTTATATGCAATGACATAAAACCATAATAATTTCTCCTATATTTTTCATTTCTAGTAAGAGAATAAAATTTAGATATTTTTAAAGGATGTTAATTGATTTAAATTTTTTTATTTTATTTTATTTGCAGTAAATACAAAGTTCTAAAGTCAAATCTTACGTTCATCAAGGAGAAAATGTTTTTAAATGGAAAAAAATTATCTTCTTTTTATATAATTCACACTTGGAAATAAAGAAAAAATAAATAAACAAGAGTGCTTCAATTATATTAAAAAAAATATTGTGCTTCGAAAATTTGGCTGCTGTTTTTGAAAGCTAGTACAGTTTATGGTGTCGACTTAAGAAATAATGTGATTAAAATATTTTTTTATTATCATTGAAAAACTTGATAAAATATAGTATTTGATCAATTGTTAGTAGTTTTCTGTGGTCTTTTCTCTATCATCCCTATTCCCCTATTATCCATAAATTTTTATTTCAGTAAATTGAAATAAATATTCGCCATTTGTTTTTTCAGGTTTCGAGCTAGATATAACCTGGAAACTTTCTTAAATTACATAAACTTTCATTAAATTTTGCCTTGCATATCTGTAACGACTTTTTCTTTTTTTATTCATTTTTAACACTTAAGTCTCTCGGTTTCTTTATTTTTTTTAGTTTTGTACAAGCTGAGGACAAACACCCAAAAAGACGGTTTCTTTATTTTCAAAACTTATAAAAATATTCTGTCTTTTTTAATTAAAAAAGACAATATACTCTATGTATAACATTAGACTCTCAGGTTTATCCATGTGTATTGATAGCGAAATGTTTTTCTCATATTGTTGCATATGAATTATTTTATGTTAGTGAAATAAAATTATGAGAGACCCATAAATAATTGAAAAGAGAAAAAATAAAGGTGAAATTCATTTTTGTTATATATCTGTAGGAATTTAATTTATCTTATGTTGAATGAGATAAATATAATCCTTATTAATATACAAAGGGAAATATAAGAATCATGTTGCAGGAATGGCACTGTTTATTCCTGCAACAAGGATACGGCGTCGTATCCTGACTTTGGTCTGACTTTTTTTTTTAAGCGTGGGACCCACACTTAATTTGTATGTGTAGAAAAGTGCTATTGTCATGTCAAATGACAAAAAGGGAACCATATACAAAACAAAGTACCAAACTATGTTTACCCAACAACTTTCTAACATTTCATTTCGCCATGGAACAGACGCTGAATTCTTATCTGGAGAATTGAATTCAAATTTGTGGAATGTGGAGCTAACTCCATTAATTGAGTTTGACTATAAAATGATGAGGAAAATTAGTTCTTGGTTATAGACATATTGACCTTTTGCTAGCAACAGACAACAATGCAATTAATTGATTATTTGACTATAGCCCAGACAATAAGTGGTCATAATTCGGACATGTTATTTTAGCACCGCCTCTATTATTTTGAATTAGAACCCGGCACCACCTTTTTCAACGAGAGACTTTTTTATGTTACAGTATAAATTTCTTAGAATTATTATGATTTTGGTATAACAATCAATAACTTATACCCTGTTCAAATAATTCTCTCATAATTTCACTCACGAGTTAAAGAATTTGGATCCTCTCATGTAAAAAAAATGATATGATCATATGAAAAATTATAACCACATAAAAATAGATCAATGGTAATAAAAGAAGAGAGAGCAAAAATATTAAAATTGATAGTTATAAAATCATAACTATTGATTTATCTTTGTATGATTATAATTTTTACATATGACCATATCATTTTTATTTTAACGATGAAATGATCCATTTTTCTAGATAAAATAAAGAGTAATAAAAGTTTTATCCTCCAAGTTCCCAACTAATTAAATTATTGTTCTGTTTAAATTTAAAGAGAGTATATTTTGAAGTTTTACTTTAATTCATCTTCGGTTTAAAACTTTTCCTATTATCAAATTCAGAAAATATAACTACACAAAAAAAAATTATGTTTCTTTGCAACAGTCAATTAATAAAACTGTAAAATATGTAACCTACTATGCAAGTTAAAACTCAATATACACTGTTACCAAAAAAAAAAAAAAAAAAAAAAAAAAAACTCAATATACACTTTTTTTTCATCCATTTTTCCTTTTCTTTTATCTTAGTGAAACATACATTAACTCCTTCCATAACAATGATTTTAATATTGTGGCAACATGTTTAAAAATAATGTAAAAAACTTTACGCCAATATGAATCATAAATAACTGTATCCAATATTTAATGGGAATTAAATTTCATACAAGTCTTTAATAAATTAAAATATAAAATAATCACGTGATAAACAAATTGACTTACTGTTTGATGTATTAATGTTCAAGATACTTTTGGTTACATACATATTTCCCCAAAACTGTTTATAATTTAAGGGTTATGTTTATCTCATTTTACATGAGATAAACATCTCTCCTACACACACAAAAAGGGTTGGGTCCCACCACTTTTTTTTCTCTCTCCTCTTACATGTGGGTCCCACTTACACTTTTGTTTCCACAACATAAGGTAATTCTTTTCCTACAACATAAGAAAAATATATCCCATAATTTAATATACTAAATAAAATGCGCTACTTATAATACTATAATTGTGATGGGAACTTCCTCAAATTAGTACGTAAGCGATTCATAAGTCAATAGGTTAAGTTTGGGGGAAAAACTACTCTTATGCAACATAAGAGTAATTTATCTCCTATAGACCCATCGAAAATCGTGACACTCTTTTTTCTTTTTTTTTTCCTTTTTTGAAAATAGTGGATCCTACAACATATGTCTCTACAACATAAGGTATCTTCTCTCATGTAACATGAGATTAGATGAACCCTAAGTTTGGAGCTCGACACTCACATGTTGGCCTGAAGTCACAAGGTCGTCCAACACTTAAAAAAATTAAGAATGCAAAAAGAGAGACAGAGAAGAACACAACAATCTTTTAACGTGAAAATTCTTTTTGGGTGTGGCGAAGTAAAAATTATGAGACATTAGTCCATAAATCTTTCACTAGGTAGAAAAGAAAGATTACAAATAGTCAATTTTCCCTAGTTACATTGAAGGTACAATCAAACTTCACCAAAGATGGTGGTAATCTCAAACGTCTATAAAGAGGTCACTCTTCAAACTTTTCCTCTAGAGGTACTCAAAAAATTCTCTAACTTATTACAAAAGGTCTTCAAGTGTATATATAAGGTGAAGGAAACCCTCTACTTTCTTCTAGAATCTTCTTTAATCATTATGGTGGTGGAGGTGGTTGGGCAAACATTGAGCCCTGCACCAATAAATATGGTGTATGCCAGAATTAATGGAGGAACCACACCAACAAATCTCCCCACTTCTGACTTTAATGTGTCGGGTTCTACAGCAGCCCAACACCTTCGCAACACTCTTCAAAGTTTCTTGTTGGTACCGACTTGGTCATCATGTCAGACCAATTCAGGTCGATGTGCACTTTGATGATTCGAGTTGTCCATCCTCCACCACATCTCCGATCTAGTGATACCTCACATCAATGTGCTTAATGCGGGAGTGATAGGTCGAGTTCTTCGCTAGATGAATAGTGCTTTGAATATCACACTTCAGCTCGTATTTGTCTTGACATGGCCGAGTTCTAGAAGAAACTTCTTCATCCAAATCATCTGTTTACAAGCCTTAGTCGCGGCTATATACTCGGCCTCGGTCATCAAATATGCCACACATTTTTGCAATTTTGATTGCCAGGAGACAGCTCCACCTGCAAAAGTCATCAAATATCTTGTGGTTGACTTTCTAGAGTCGGCATCTCCCCCTAAGTCTTCATCCGCAAAGCCCTCCAGCTCGGCCTTACCTTCTCCAAATCGGACGCATAAACTTGTCGCTCCTCTGAGATAATCGAAGATTCACTTGACAGCTTCCCAATGCTCCTTGTCGGGGTTAGACAGATATAGGCTCACCATTCCAATTGTATATGCCAAGTTGGTCTCGTACTGTAACAGCCCGTTGTACACCGGTATTGTTAACATTGATTATGATATTAAACGCAGTTACAATCACAACAATTCATTTATAAAAATGCGAATAAACTTTTCCCGTTATTACGCGAGGATTTAAAACAATAACAAGCGTAATAATTAAAAGCTGTGACCGTAACTGTAAACTCTTGCGGAATACTTATTTAAACTACTTCTATGTCTTATTTTACTTATCATAAGTTACTAAGGGGTTCCCATAAACCCACTTAGCCAATTACTAACTTTTACGTTTTTACTTACCCGAACATGGTTCACTAATTAAATTACTGCGAATGCACCACAAAAATTCAGACCTTCCACTCAGGTTATATTTTTTTCTTACTTAATTCCCTTTCTAAAAAGCTATCACACGCTATGATCGGAGCACGTTTGCTCCGGATATCGCCGTTTGAAGTTGGATAAGCAAAACAGCCAACCAACCCCAAAACAGCTCAAAACCTCTCTCACTCCTCCTCGATTACTGCAGAAAATTCACTCATCCAATTGCTCTCAAATTTTTATTCTATAAACTAGACACCTCAATCTTCGATTTGATATATCATACGCTTAATTTGACCAAGAAATGAAGCAGGAATAAAATTCCCAAAACTGGACCAAAACAGCCCCCAAGTGCAGGGCAAAACAGGGCAGTTGTGTTCACTGACTTCCACAGGGCTGCGCACAACCTATAAAATTCTAATATTTTTACACAATGTAGGGGACATCTCAAGCTTCAAAACGGCGTATGGCACGTCCCTATCGGACCTCTATGGAGGGAGATATGCTCTCCCGAAGTTCACCTAAAATCTGCCAATTCTACAGAAAATTCGCCAGAGTTTCCTTTGTTTTTCCTTAAATCCCCAAATTTACATAAGCTTGCTAATACCACAAATATACCTAATAATCCAATGGGTGGCACACACAAGGACCAGCAATGCCTTGGGGCTCTTACAACCCACAATATACAACAATTCCATATCATATACAGTAGTATACATACATGATCCATAACTCTATATATATCATATCAAAAAGGTGACTCTGTGCCATAACTACAACATCCTACATCAACCTACATAAACATAATACATCACAGTGTCACAATATATACAACAGACTCCCAAAATAAGCAGGCAACATCTATGCTCAGATCTACTCATCAACCACGGGCCTCTTGCCCCGAGAACGATCGTCAACTGCTGCGATACCTGAAATATATCCCCATAACGCGGGGTGAGAATGAATCTCAATAAACTTGGGGTTTATGGAGCAGTCTCCACCCAAGAGTCCACTTCCTGCAAGAAAATATCAAGTACCAAGACATAGATAACACCATATAATCCATATTAGAATTTCTGTATCATATATCTTTTCTAATAATTCTCATTTATTCTTATAATGTACTTTCTTATTAATCTTAAGTATGTTCATGTCTTATGTATGAATAAGGCTTCCATCTTATATTTGTAATGTCGTATCATATTCAATAGCATACTCATAATGATTAGAGAACTAAAGTATTATCGGCTATACCTTATGTATACCGTGATCATATCCATAATTGTTTCCTCTGTTCAGAAACCATAACTTACACTTCCAAGGCTTTATTTCATTGAAGATCATATCATATTAACTTATCATAACATAAATAATATCATATGCATGCACTATATGAATGCAACTACGCAAAGTATCAATATTAACAACAATTATATCCATACGGAAACCATAATCGCCACTGATCATGGCGGAACAAAAAGGCTGAGAAAACTCCTAACCGAAAGCTTACCTGTCGTCTCTTTCCTGCTGCTAACTTGCTATTTAATAACCCGTACACTTGGTTGTCTACAAGTTGTTCGTCCACCTACTTCATCTGATTACACTCTGTTACCGTACATATAAAAGTACCATTAATTTCCAATGAAACATACATTACTTGAAATCCGAATAATTATATTCATATGTTAATTTCATAACCAACTTGACAACTTCATTTCCCTTGACAGTTCATGCCATCCCATAAGTTTACAACTTAATTTATACTTCATGACTTAGAGTCTCAATTAGTTAATTAATTTACTAATTTATAGTTAACATTTCATACACTTTTAACAAAGCTTCACGTATCTTAAACCATTTGAATCATACTTACTTATTCTAGGAAAATGCTATAAATCAATCACTTGAATTGAAAACACATAATCTATGCCCATTATTCCTTTATGGCCGAACTCTATATATAAACACATATACAATTCTTTTGGTTGTCATGTTTAACTAATTAGCTTAATTCTTGTGAAAGCATTCATACACTATTATTCCATTAACTTGACATAAAACTAACATCAATTTCCTTAGCCATTTAATACATATTGGTCGAATAGTTACATATACATATACTCATGGATTTACCATTTCATCTTAGTTAATTCCTTGTTTGATCACTAAGTAGTCTTATATAAACTATTACATAACTTTTTCATCAAAACTCTAACATAAACATAGTCTACATCCTAGACTTAATTAAGATTTCACACTTTATGTTTGGTTCAAATACTAGCCAATCATCATTAAATGTCCTAAGGATCATTGTTTTACATAACCAATGAATTAAACACTTAATTTGCACAATTAATTCTAAAGGGCCGAAATACACACATTTTTTACAGCATCAACATCCTGTGCCATTTTAATCACGAAAAATTCATCTTAACTCCGATTCCCCTGAATTTTGGATATGTTATAGTAGACACTTAAGGCTTTAATTTGGCGCAAACCACAATCCATTTGAAGTCTTGTAGCTTCAGATATGAATTTTTAAACATAACAGCCCCTATGTTGATCCTAAAAGGTCCATAAAGTTCTTTTGAAATTCCTATACTTCATTCTTTTTACAAACCAACTCTAAATCATATTACACTTACATTTCCACATACAACTTGATTAAACACATCCTTTAACTATTTTATCACATGATGACCGATTTGCCTAGCTCAAGGTTTAATGAATTCTCTTTCAATTTTTCTATCACTTGAACCTTTAATTTGTCATCTCAATTTCATGTATTTCACTTAGGAAATATTACAAACACTTGGTGTGCACATCTTTACAACCAAAATCTGAACCATATAGAGTTCATTAAACTCATCCCTTATGTGATTTCAATTTCTTTTTGTAGTATAGAAAACCAATCCATCACAACAACTCATTAACCCACGTAAACATCAATAAAACCACTTAAATTCATCATTAAACCAACAGCCCTATATCATGAATATCATCATTATTTCTAAGAATTTAATCAAGGGAGTGAAGGTTTAATACCTTAGATAGCCTAACCAATAACTATTGATGACTTCCCTAAGCTTAGAACTATGGAATCAATCCATTTTCTCCTTCCTTTCATGTGCAGGCGCTGCTGTCCAGAGGAGAAAAGAAGAGATTTAAAGCTTCCCAAAGTTAGAAAAATGGTGGGTTAGAATGATGGGGTGCTAAGCTACCTTTCCTATGTTGGAGTCTGGATGAAATGGTGACAAATCATCAAGTTCTCTCTTGCCCTTTCTCCATTGAAGCTCACGAACTAAGGAAGAAGAAAGAAAGAGGAGTGCAGCGTGAAAAAAAAAAAAAAGGAAGAGAAGGGACCGCCTAATTGAAGCCAAGTAGTCTTAGTTTATTTATTTATTTATTTTTTTGACAACATGTCACTTTCTCATTGGTTTAAACAACCAAACTACTTGCTTGTTGCTTTCTTCTTAAACTCTACGGCCCACATAAGTGATAAGAAAGGAAGGAAGGCATAAAAACTTCATGAAGCAGCGTACAACAATTTGGTGAATGACTTTTAATGAAACTTGGTGATAAAGTACTCAATTCCACCAAATATAGATTTGTCAACATTAAATACTATTGGTTCTTTAATTCTTCATTTGACTAATCAAGTATCATCTTAAATATTTATTGGTTCAATTCTATCAAATTTCCTCATCTTTCTTACTAAAGTTACGTACATGGCAATTTAAAGAAGACATAACATTGCAACTTAAATAATTAAGACTAAGAATTTTGTTTGACTTTTTACTAATCAAAACTCATCTTATTGCTTAATAATTAATCCATCTTTTCCTTAATTTTAACAATTAATCCAAGTATCATTTAAATCATTTAAAGATACTTTGAACTTACTAATTTCTCTAAACTAATTAATTATTCAACCTAAATTATATTTAGGCCTAATTACCAAGGTAAACCCAAACTTACTCCATATAAATATTTATGTTCTTAATTATATCTAATAATTATATTTGAGTCCTATTAGACTTGTATGACATGAACTATATTCTCTTACTATTTTTCGTATGAGTCTATTAATTTAACTCCCACAATTTCATTGAATAAGTATTTAATCTAGTTAACCACCTAATTAATTCATTTCTCTTAATTTACTATTGAGGGTTGTTATAACTTCCTCAGCCAAATCTCCATGAAGAAAAGCATTCTGGACATCGAGTTGGAAAATATGCCATTGTTTAGCTACGGCCACTGATAGAAATGCTCGCACGCTTACCATTTTTGCTACAGGGGAAAATGTTTGGTTGTAATCTTCTCCTTCGACCTGATTGTTTCCAGCAATTACCAAACGGGCCTTGTATCTCTCGATTGATCCATCAGCATTGTGCTTAATGCGGTAGACCCATTTGCACGGTATGGCTTTCTTGCCTGGAGGAAGTGGTGTAATACTCCAAGTTTTATTTTCATCAAGGGCAGCAATTTCCAGCTGCATGGCTTTTTTCCATTGAGGGGATTGTATTGCTTCTTTAAATGTCTTTGGTTCAGAATTGCTATCAACGGCTGCAAGGAATAGCTGATGTTTCGAAGAAACACATGCATTAGTGACAAAATGACTTAGAGGATATGAGATACCTGAGGCAATTGGAGACGGAAGTGGACGTGAAAGGGGTGTAACTACTGTATTGCAGATGAAGTCTTGCAAATGAGAAGGCATACATCTGGTGCGTTGCTCTCGGCCAAGTGCTATAAGGAGCGGTGCAGGTGCTGTCAGCTCAATAGCAGGTGGAGGGTCAACTGTAGGTGAAGCATGCTCTTAGCCAGCTGCTATAGGCTGCTGTGCAGATGCTATAGGCTCCGTAACAGGTGGAGGATTAGCAGTAGATGGAGCAGAAACACTCCCCATGTCGCCAAGCACTGGTGTAGACAATTCATCATAATCAGTGATAAGTGGTTGAGTTGGAGGAATTAAAGTAGGAAAAGCAGCAGGTGATGGGTCTTCAAATGGGAAAACATCTTCATGGAAGATTACATCACGTGAAACAAATATTTCATTAGTAGCAGTGTCCAGTAGCTTCCACCCTTTCTTGTTAAAAGGATATCCAACAAAAACACATCTGCATGCACGAGCTTCAAATTTATCACTCAGTTTGGGAACAATGGTGGAGTAGCATAAACAACCAATCACTCGCATGTGATCATATGTAGGAGATGTGCCATGTAACACCTCATAGGGACATTGTCTGTCGAGTAAAGGAGTAGGGGTTCGATTGATGAGATGGGCGGTAGTTAAGATGCATTCTCCCCAAAGATAGACAGGGAGGTGACCATCAAACCGTAAGGCCCTTGCCACGTTGAGAATATGACGATGACGCCTCTCCACACGTCCATTTTGCTGCGGAGTATAAGTGCAAGAGAATTGATGAAGTATCCCTTGAGTTGAAAGTGCATTCTGAACAGAGGAGGATAGAAACTCAGTGTCGTTATCCGTTTGAATCCGTTTGACAGGTGTGTTATGAAGATTGCGTGCTATGTTGAGGAATTTTATTAGGCAAGTAGAAGTTTCATGCTTATCGTGCAACAGAAAAACCCAAACATGTCGACTGTAATCATCGACAATGGTTAAAAAATAACGAGCCCCAGTGGTAGATGCAGTGCGATGTGGCCCCCAAGTATCACAATGAATTAAATCAAAAGGATGCAAACATCTCTTATTATTAATTGGAAATGAGCTTCGTGGTTGTTTAGCATGACAACATACATCACAAGGGTCTAATTTATTTGGAGAAGAAACAAATGGTAACAAAGACAAATAACGGGCAGAAGGATGCCCCAGCCGTCGATGCCAGATTGTTGGAGAAGCTGTGATGCTGACGGCATTGATGTTTGCAGAAGAGAAGCATAGCAGATACACCTCATCACGTTCCACACCCAGTCCAATCGTCCTCTTCCTCTTTAGGTCCTGCAGTAGACAGACAGAATTAACAAAGAGAGCAATGCAAGATTGGTGAAGCAATTGAGAAACTGAGATTAAATTGCATGTCAAGGATGGGACATGGAGAACATTAGACAGACGAAGAGAGGAGCCTAAAGTGATGGTGCCACATTGCGTAGCAGTAGTACGAACTCCATTTGGAAGGCCAACCGAACAAGGAGATATGGTACGTAGGTTGGAGAGATGAGAAATATTGTTTGTCATGTGCTGGGAAGCTCCACTGTCGATGATCCAAGAGGGGGAAAGGATCTTACCATGGAGTTTGTCAACGGATGATTTGGAGGAAACAGCCAAGGTCATGAGCTGTTGCAGGACTTCAGGAGTAAAATCAGCCATAGGGATGGAAAGTGATGAGGATACAGTAGGTGCGGGATTGGCATAAGTGTTTGTGGTATGAGCTGCATGGGCAGAAGATTGTTGGGAACGGACATGGGATGAGCGTCCACGACCACGCCCACGACCGCGTGTAGAAGGAGGGCGTTCTGGGTAGCCAACCAGCTGATATCACTTGGAAACATCATGATAGGGTTTGCCACAATAGGTGGATGTTACTCTCGGTTTGGAAGAATCATTTGTAGCTTTGGAGGCAGTGTTTGAAGTTGCATAACCCAACGCATCTGCAGGGACGTCAGTAGTGCGAACAATAGCCTTGTGTGTTTCTTCTTGGCAGACCATGGAAAAAACTCGATTGATTGTGGGTAATGGAGTCATGTTAAGAATATGAGTGATCAGACTCCCATAGGTGGCATGATCAAGGCCCATGAGGAATTGGTAGACACGATCTTTGTCACACGCAGAACTAATGGATTTGGTGAAGACACACTTATCTCCAAGAACGCAGGCATCGAGTGTTAGATTGGATTCAAGCTCATCCCATATGGAACGAAGCTTGGTATAGTAGTCTGTGATGGATGCACCAGTTTGCTTCATAGTAGAGAGAGTGGCTTTTAGATGAAATATGCGAGGGATGTTGGCTAGAGTATAGCGTTCATGGAGGTCATCCCAGAGACCTTTGGCTGTGTCAAAACACTTGATGAAGGGCTGCAACTGTGAACCAATCGTGTTATGAATCCAACTGTTGATCATAGAGTTACAGAAAGTCCAGGCGTAGGCTTCGTCGGACGTTGCATCTGCAAGAGGCACGATAGACCCATCATGAAGCCAAGTTTGTTTTTGGCTTTAAGGGCATTCTTCATAAGTTTTGCCCAATTTTCATAATTAGATTGACCATTAAGGAGGACAGTAGTAAGGATGGATCCTAGGTTATCGGAAGGATGGAGATAGAAAGGTGATTTTGGATCGGAGACTTTGAAAGTTCTATTTGCGGAAGACATAGTGGAAAAAAAATTATGGATCGTCAAGCTTTTGATACCATAACATAAGGTGCTTGAATCAGCAACTTGCTTTCATTCAATGCTTGGGGTCAAATATATACACGCAAAAGATTACAACAGAAACAGCTACAACTAAGGAACAGTGAAGCTAATTACTTGAAAACAGGAAAGCAAATAAATCTAATCATATCTGATATTAACAATACAATCTGATAATAATCTAAACTAACTATATTAGTTGTAACAGAAAATAACAAACTCCTAATACTATAGCAAGTTAGCAACCGCATTTGAATATTGTGGTGACTTAAACAAGGCGGCGATGGCTGCAAGACATAATAACTTAGCACCATACGATGGTTCTTGAAGCATGTTGGAGGTAGAGGATGAGAGCTTCTATTCCATTTGTGCAAAGAGCAACCAAAAATCTGATTCCCGCTCGAAGGAAGTAAGATCCTTAGCAAGCTCATGCAATTCCATAATGAAGATGAAGACGATATTTCAAATGAAAACACCAAATATTAGGAAAGAAATTCTTATCAAAAAGAGAAAAGAAAATATAAAAGAAAATTAATAAGATTACTTTGTTGAAAGCTTGTCTCCCGCATTTTATTTTATTTTTTGGTTTTACTGATCAGGTTAGCAAATTTTTTAAAGTGATACTTTGAAACTGTTCATTCTTTCTTCTTCTTTTTCTCATCTTTTTGGTGCTTGAGTTTTTGTCTCCGATGTTAGTTATGAGACACCTAATACTGAAATAGAAAATATTAGACAGTGATAATTTTCTTATAATAAATTTTGTCAAAACGAGATAATATTGTGATTAAGTTTTACATCTCAAGAGAGGCATCGTAAATGAGTATGGAGAATAAACTTTTTTTTTTAATTTTATGTAAATTCAATGTGTACAAAAAAATTCCTATTTTATAGAGCTAATCATTTCACTTGTAAAAGTGATTACAATTGGCAAAACAACCGTGGTTTTAAAATTAAATTTTTGGAATAATGCACTTTTGAAAGGTATTTTACCAAACTAGCGAAGTTAGTTCCACACGAAAGGTATTTTGAAAGGTATTTTTTCTGGATTTTATTTTGTGTGTAAATTTTTTTGAAAAAATCATTCAAAAATACCATCTAGGAGATGGTATTTTAGGATTTCTATGGCAAGAAAAAATTTAATACAACTAAACATAGCATCAAGAAAATTAACCCAATATGTTCGGAAATATGTTAGTTTACCAAACAACTCTTTAGTAACATTTCCAGAAAAAAAAAATTTCTCCTTTACCAAACGTCCCCTAAGATAATAGTTCCACACATTTCCAATGATCATACTGGCAACTGGTTATGTATCATAAACGTGTGAAATTCGTCCCGCATGCATTTCGTTCGGAACTTTTTGGAATACGATTCTGGGCAAACAAAAAGTTGATTGACATAATTTTATCACCAGTCTGTTTATGAAATGTTTACAACCAGCATGAATGATAATTTAATAACAAGGTGGTCCTGTACTAACAGTATCCAATACACCCTTCAAAAAAATTGGACCCACGTTGCCACAGACTTCAAATATCGCCAATCATATGACAAGATACTGACTATGGAGCCCACCTTGTTTGCATTTCATACAGCATCAACTTCTCTGTTATAGTATTTGCCGCAACTGCTCTACCTTCCAAGATAAATCTTCCACGAGCATAGTATGTCTATAACTAGTTTATTCATAAAATAGTCAATGATTTAACTCAAGTATAGCAACAACTCCTAGCGATTCAACAGCTCCTGACGGCATCCTCAGCATTCACAAGGCTAGCAATTACTCTATTGAAGCAATTTCCCTCTGCAAAGGATGAAGGCTAACCATAGTTTCTGATATATGTTACTACTAGGGAAATCAAACTCACATCTGATTAGTGTTAGCTACTGTAGATGGCGCTTCAGCAAATCCAGTTGGAGTTTGTGGTCTTGGGATGATTCCAAAGTCAGGATGAAGCATGTCCACCCCATTCCAATCAAGACTAGCTGATTTGTTTGAGTTCAGGAATTAGGTATATACTACTTCAAAAAAGACATACATAAGACAGAAGAAGAAAAAGGGAAAAGGATAAAAAAGAGAAAGGCATGAAAACATTTAAAAAGAAGGATACAATCTGTTCTCCATATATCGGTTATGCTAACTTCAGCATCTGATAGAAGCCAATAATCTGCGTTGTTCTACAAAAATTGCCAAGAATATCAGCAATGCCAACGCATTCCACCAAAGAATCACTCTTATCTAACCGTTAAATGCTAAGCATTGAAAAATGACTGAAGGACCACAAATAACTTTACCATCAAAATAACTTAATCATTGCAACAAGATTTACACTAATGCAGCCCATAATCCCAGCTTGAAGAGGAGAGAGAACCTCACATCACATGAGTCAGTTTAAAAAGATTAGAACAAATGCTTCCTAAGATAGGCTCAATTGCTCAAATTCAAGCTGTTAAAAGATATTAAGCTTGTTCCCTTCTGTCTAAGTCTATTAGTATTTAGTATTCACAGATATGACAAATAAAGATTCTGACCTCAATTCCCACCTTGAGTCCAAAAGGAAGCAAAGTGGCATTAGAAATATAACATCCAATATAGAATCCCTGAACTGTAGCAAATAGTCATGGTGGACCATTTGTACATTGAGATTAAGTTTTCATACCATAGATAAAAGCATCTTGACTATGATATACTTACGTTTGCCTCTGAAGGGACAATCTTCATCATGCCTCCAGCAACCTCTTGTGAAGCATTTAGATCAGAGCATGTATGAGAAGAGAGCTCAGCTTGAGGTTCAAGTCCTTTTCCACTGCATTCAGCAGGAACCATTTCTGTCACAAGTTGCTCATTGGACCCTGAACTTGAAGCAGGTGGGAAGCTCATAGGGGGCTCAGCACCATTAATCTCTTCAAATTTCTCTTCAAATTGGCTGAAATTTTTTCAGAAGTTTCAACAATTAAATGGAAAATGAATTATCAGATAGATTAACTAGAGAACTAGTGGAAAAATACAACCACAGCAAAGTATTAAATATCAGATAGGATACAGAGTAATAATTGATTTCTAGAAGGACAACATAAGAGAAAATAAATAAATAATACAACCTGAGGCAGTTATACCTGATAAGATAGAGATCAATGGGACCCATTGTGCTTCTAAGAATGATTCTATATCTCCTCTGTGGATAGTCAACAGCCTGATGCATATAGAAGCAACAATTCTCGATCATTCAACAGAAACACCAGTTTTAAAAACATCACGAGCCTTCCATCAATTTATACCCTAAACTTACCTCATCAGGATCAGGGACCTCCAGGGTGGTTCCATGTGGAGCTTTAACTGCTATAAGAGTTTCATTGTGCTGCTTGCAGAAAAGCACTAGTATTAATAAAAAGTAAAACCGCAATAATAATCAGCCTGAAACGGAGGACACAGCAATGTTCATAACGACAATTGATAAGGTGGGAGCACAACGCAAAAAATAAAATAAAATAAAATCACCTGGAAGCAAGGTAGGCCTTTAATATCTTCTTCAGTCACAAAAAGCCACCTAAAAAGAATTGAAAATTGGTATAATTTATCATTTAGTGATAACAGTTTATTTTTCCTTATATTAAAGGAAGAGGGAAAATGAATCTATGAACTGAATGGGGAGAAGATTACTTCTGTTTGTTTTCATCGTCAATCAAACTCCTCAGCCTTTCTTGCATTTCCCTGCCAACAATATAGAAGGAACAGCATTAGCCACCAATTTTAAAATAGCAAATTGCTGCTTTTCTAAGGCATAGCAACCATATAACCTTATTTGGTCATCTAATCTCTGCTCTTCAAAAGAAAGTTTCTCAACTTCTTCCTGCAACACAAAGCCACAAGGCCACCAGCATAATTAACAACATGCTCTAACATGCAACTAAGTCGTCATAATCCTTTTTAATATTATTTTTTTAATATAATGAATCATGATAAATATAGAACTTGACCAACAAAGGTCTTGATCCACTAAATGTGAGTGCTGCTATAGACAGTATGGATGGCTACAAAGATACATGAGCCATATATCAATGACACTGATAATTCTATAACAACTAATTCCTTGGGTGTCAATAGGTCCTTCACAAGAAAACACCCACATCACTTACCTTAAGCATAGAGATATCAGTATCCATCTCACCAGATGTAGAAGATTCAACTCCCCTACATTTCACAAGGTTTGATGTCAGAATTTTGCTCTGATGCATACATCTAAACTTCAAAAGAAGCTAAATATACTATAGAGAAATTGTTAAATATGTCACATATTACTTCCAATGTATTCTGTTCTTGAGTTTCTTTTCGATGAGACCAATGCCTTCCAAAACATTAGTTATGTCATAAATCCTCCTCTTTTGCACCTGTAAAAGAGGAACATTTAAATTCGTATATGACAGAGGAAGAATAAATATAAGATATTTTGGTCAATCATTTAAAAAAAGAAAAAGAAAAGGACCTCCAAAGTTTCTGCTGCTTTATTAAGGTCAAGAATACCATCCTCTGCATGCTTGACCAAATTGATGAACTTTTTTGTTAAGAGACCTGTGAAGTTCTGGTATAATTTGGTCATTCTTTTCTCATGGAAATAACTCCGTTAGCAATACCATATCAGGAAAGTGAAATGTAAATAGCTTATTGGTTAAGATTACTTCCAAAATTACCTAAGGAACTGTCATAACGACAGCTGCCGGCGGGAGTAAGAGGAGAAGGCGAACCTGCATGTCATCAGAAACTGTCTGATTAAACATAATATATTATGGCTGAAGTACAGCAAGGAAGAAGCAAATCACAGTTTGCACATGAATTGTTTCGAAGCACTAAAAGCTTCTCAAATAGAATAGTGAACTTAGTTCAACAAGAAAGATAATGTGGAAAAATTCTCACCAGCATTTGGGATGGGTGTTGGAGGACATGATCTGCCTTCACTGGAAACCTTTGGCTTATTATGTGTCCTTCCGCCTTTAGCAGACACAGGAGTTTTGAAGGGACTATTCACTACGTTAGTGTATCCAGGGCTGTTAGTCCACTTCTGGGAGTCACCTGCATTCTCATTCATTCCACTCTTCCGCTTCATGAACTGGCACAACCATCAGGTTCCGTAAGCGATAAGTAGCAAGGAAAATAAATGACCGATGATATCTACACACTAATATATAGGTGACATAGAGATCATATAATGCAACCAATCAAGCAAGAGTAATAGTTTATCTTTTAATATGTACAGTGATTTATAATGATGCTAACTACAACTTTCCTTAAAATATCAACAAAAAAAGGGTAAAGACACACACTAAAGCAATTCAATCTCATCACATTAAGCCACAAAAGAAAAAGTCCATGAGCAAGCATTACCAAGTGGCTCAGACTTAATGAACTACACATAGCAAAAAAGTCAATTAACAAGAATAAACCTGTATGCAAGACTGCAAGTGAACACATCAATCTACAACCATTTAATCCGCCCAAAATCTAACGGTTATGCAAATAAGCACTAGCTACCTTGACACATGATCGACAACAAGCAAGGACCTTCTATCGACAACCTATTACCTCAAAAGCAACCCAAACTGCAGATGTTAAATTCCCCCTGTATCATCCTAATTATTGCATAGAACTACCACATAGACAAAGACCAAAGCTTCGGAAAAAGGTCCCCAACACTGATTAACGAATTGAATTTGGTCTTTGGATCCAGGATTGGGGAATAAACTTGACTTTTCCGCATGAAATTAATAAATAAATAACAGAATCAAAATTTCGCTCCACTAAACCAAAATCAAAAGCATATGAAAGTGAATCCAACAGATTCAGGAAAAAAGGAAAAAAGATACAACGAAACAAACAAACGCATACAAAAAAAAAAAAAAAAATCACTTCAGATTTCGAAGCCACAATTTTACTAAACACAAACAGAAAACGAAATTAAGAACAGAGAGGCAAAAAGGAAGGACTCACCGGAGATCTAACAACGACAGCCTCAGCCTCTTGATCGGCGACTCCCCTGGAGTCGGAAGCGGAGAAGCTGTGGTAATCATCCGGCGGAGCAAATGGCGGCTTCGTCGTCGCGAAGGCCAGGTGGCGCTTCAACGGCGGCCGGTTCGTGGCGCCGGCAGCCTCCCGCGGAGGCGATGCGCGGCGGTTAAAAGCTCCAGCGGCGCCGGACATGGAGCGGAAAATCCGAATTGCGGTGGGAGTTGGAGGGAAATGGCGAAGGATCGGAGAGGACTAGGGTTTTAGAGAGAGAAAGTGGGGTTTAGAGAGAGAAGAAAAAAGGGTTTGGAGGAAAATAGAGGGAGTTAAGGGCGTAGAGGAAGCGAGAGCAGAAAACGAGGGAAGGAGGGAATTTTGTTTCGGATAGATGTGGAGGGAACTTCATGCGCAAAAAATGGGAAAAAAAAGCAATATTAGTTATTACATATATTTATAATATCGTCCTTGTCTTTTTACATTGTTGTGAAATTACCCCATGGATTCTTCTCTATGCTCAAAAAAATTTCAATATTTTGTCAAAACAAAAAAAAATATTAAACAATAAAACTTTTCAATCTTCTCTTCTTACGAATTACAATCATTAGCGTGATATGTGTTAATACAGTCATTTCTTCTTACAATCATTCATATAATTATCTCTTTCTTAATTAATATTTAAAATGCATTTGTACTTAATATTCCTATTCAATATTTTTTTCACGCACTTTATACTTCATGTTTCACTTTAAGACCCCCACGAAATGTCTGATTCTTACAGAGTTTGAGATTGTGAAATGTACTTTATTTGTGATACTAACATTACTATGAAACAAATTATGATATTCAAAATTGATCCTGCTTTTTATACGTGAGTATCATTATTAATTTCGTTCATAATATGTAGTTCTCAAATCATATGTTCTCGGAAAATCCAACTTCGAGTGATGATGAGATAATAATTTTTTATTGCTTCCAATTTTGAAGCAAATTGACAAACTTTGTTTTTTTATCGAGTTAGTAAGGTCTTAAGAAAATACATCAACGGCCAGAGAGGATTATACGAAATGCGCCAGCCATATCAGTAAAGGTTAATTTTTTATTTATTTTTTTATAAACTACAAGTATCTTTCACGGGAATAATCTTATTCGGGATAGGTCTAGGATTAAGGCTTTAACTCCTTCCAAAAATGATATGTTAATATACTTATTGCTCTCGACTCTCGAGTCATGGCTATGGACTCATATATCTTCCTTTTTCATGAATTTAACATACGTAGGAATTTGCTCTAATGCCTCCACCAATGGTATGTTAATATGGAGTTGCTTGAGAATGTCCATGAACTTCTTAAATTGCTTATCTTGATTTTGTTTCTGCAATCTCTGAGGAAAAGGAGGAGCAGGCTGAAATTTTGGCACATCAGGTGTTATATACTACATAGGTGTTATAGCACTCGACTGAGCTACTATAGCAGGTTCTGCAGACTTAGAATTTTTTGCTTGTTGTTCAACTTCCTTCCTCTGGTCAGGTTCTGTCTCATGTTCTTTTTCTGCATTTTCTTGGATTGAGTGGGCCCTTTTAGCTTATGAGGTCTCACTATGACCTCTAGTTGATCAACCAACCTTACATTCCTTAACTCTATGAATTTGCAATCTTCCTTGCCTTCCCTCTTTGGTATTTCAGTATTGCTTGGAAGACTTCCTGGTGGTCTACTACTCAGTGCATTTGCAAGTTGTTCTATCTGTGTTTCCATGCTCCTCAACATGGCAACTTGACTTTGGAGCATGGCTGCTTGGCTCTGAATTATTTGATCATTCTTTTGCACACACTCCTTCATCCAAGGGTCCATGTATGCTGGAGGTTCAATATTTTTTTGTCTGGACTGTTGTTGCTATTGAAAATCAGGTGGAAATGGTGCTTGTTGGGTGGTTTGTTGTTGGTGGAAAAATATATATTCTGATGGAGGACGTTCCTCTATTCTAAATTAGCAAGAGAAAACAGATTTGTTCCCTTACTTCCAACCCAAGTGCGCAAGTGCACGCATCAAGTAATAATGGGTGTATTAATGCCCAGATTATCGTTCCCACGAGGATAGAACTCTAAATAATTCCTTAAACTATTTTATAAAGAATGAAAATGAGAAGAAAAGGTAGTGATTGAACTGTCTGGTTAAACGTTCCCTACTGCCTTGACAATGTTCCTCAAGAATAGTAAGTTCAGTCTGATGGCAAACAACTCCTCGCGTCGTTATATATGTGATCCTTCTTGATAAGAGAAGGCACAACAATAGTCATGGGAGGTTGATAGATACAATGGTTGAATAGATTAAAAATAACATAGTAATAACTATACTCAAGAGACAACAAAGTGGATGGTTTTAAAACAGTTTTAACACAAGGAACGGATTTACTGCTCCATTCTTAAATAGTTATTTTCTCTGCTCAAGACTTAGTACTTTTTGGCTTTGTCCCAGTTTCTTAACTGCCAACTCTGATTCCTCAGCTCATGGACTAGATGGCTCACAAGTTTCCATATTCCTATGGCTCCCTTGACTCCAACAGATACTTGGTACAGAACCTTAAAATGGACGAGGTGACCCCTTATTCCTAAGGTAACCAATAGTGTCGTTGCCAAAACACTACCTTTCTCCACTGGTTAAGCTGTCTGTAATCCCTTCCTTAAAGAAGTTACTTTCTCAGTATGTGTTCAATTTCCATTGATACACAATGAATATAGCTTACTTAGCTAGAGAAATACAAAAAGCTTCAGTACAAGAGTTTTGGAAACAATTCTTTAAGAAATTTGCAGCTTATCCGTTCCACAAATAGTTTAGCCCATGGCTGTTACTTTAAACATAATTATTCTAAACTGAAGTCTCATAGACCCGAGATTCAGTTCAGAGATAACAAGTGGAAAGGAGAGAAGAAATACTTATATTGAAATGAAATAAGAAAGATTACAACAAAATATAAAGTGGAGAAGATGGTTGATGCTCGTGAGGAGTCTCAAGTGAATGTTACAGAATAAAGGAGAAATGTTGTCACTTAACTATAGCTACCACTATACAAAATTAAACTACAAATTAACTAAATACTACTAAGTGATCTCTTCTTAAGGAATTCGATTCCTTAGGAATTCGATGATGTCTTCATGTTTGGTACGTCCTATTTATAGGCAGAAGAGTGAGTGGCGATATTGTAAAATTCCTTGGAGTTGGTTTCTTGACTGTATGGACGGGGCGGTGGCAACAGTGTTTGGAAGCTTGCAACTTGCAGGATGGGACAATTTTTGTTGAGATTTTCCATTTCTTGCAATCCCTCATGTCTTGCTTTCTTCTCAGCCAATGAGAACCATTTATTCCCTACTGTACATGTTTCTTTGTGCTTAATTGATGCACCGCCTCTGCTTTATGGAAACTTCATTTTATGTTTCTTGCAAAGTGATCAGAAGCATTAAATGAGTAGAGCAGGTGCAATAAATGCTCTCAATCTGTTCCCCTTTTAATATGTTTTCCAAAGGGTTACGTCATCATTTGTTCTCCCACTGTGTTTTTGTCACAAAGATGTAAAACAAGTGATTTTCATGCTGAAGTTGTTCATCAGATGAGGGAACAGATAGTATTTTGCCATCAAAATGGGCTTAGATGAGAACAAATTTACGTCCCATCAGTGCTCTTTGCTGTTGAAATCCTAATTGATCAGAGTTCTACACTTGATCTTGTTGTCCCTGCAACTACTGTTACTACATTTGCTATTTTGTGGCACATATAAGAGATTGGGATGTTGCTTCCACCCTGGGTTATATGTATTTGAATAAGAATTGAAGTTCTTGCTGTAATTTCCTACAAAAAATACAGATTCAAGGTTGTTAGGACAATCAGTATATGTATGAGGTACATTGCAAAAATTGAAAACCAAGACTGTTTGTAATTGCAAAGAACCACTTCAACCCAAAACCTTGAAGGTGTTGGGTGAGGGCCTTTTTAATGATTTATATTATATTCTCTAACACACCCCCTCACGCAAGAGCCTTTGGACTTGAAGCAAGACTTCTGCTAACAACTCTAAGTGAGGAGCGAAGCCATGTCCGACGCAAACCCTCAAGGGACCAATACCGCAAAGAAGCTGGCAATTTCTGACCAGCGGTCAGCCTTCTATCTGAGCAATGCAGATGGACCAAGTATTTTGTTCACCAACGTGGTGCTGAAGGGAGAAAAAAATTATGATGTGTGGGCTAAGGCCATGAAAAACGCCCTCAAAGCGAAGAACAAACTTGGATTTATCAGTGGTGATGTGAAAGAACCTCCAGAAAGTGAAGTCGATTAGTCTTTTGCTTGGACATAATGCAATTCGATGCTTAATAGCTGGGTCCACAATACAATTGATCTGCAGTTGCAACCTTATATTCAGTATTTCAACACAGCAAAAGAACTTTGGGAAGACCTGAAAGAGCGATATTCAGTTGCGAATATACCACGACTATATCAACTCCGCACCAGTCTTGCTAATATCAGGCAAGATGGAACCAAGGTTGGCACCTACTACACACGTCTGAGGGCTATCTGGGATGAGATAGATGCAAGCAAAAACCAACCTTCTTGTACGTGTGGAGCCAAAAGTGTCATGGCAATTTATAATAGTGATGAAGCTGAAAATGAAAAGGTTTACCAATTCCTTATGAGGTTGGATGATAATCAATTTGGTGCGTTGAGGACTCAGATTCTCAACTACCCAACCTTTCCCAATTTAAATCAAGCTTATGCAGCTGTGGTTTAGGAGGAGACGCATCAGGATATGTCAAGAAAGAAGGATGAGAGAGCTGAGGTGGTCAGCTATACTGCTCAGACTAATATAAATTCTCAGGCAGGATACAATCGGAGGATGGTACTACAACAACAAGCAAATCGTGAACGACTCACATGTCCTCATTGTGGGAAGACTAATCATGATCCTTCTAGATGTTAGACAATCATTGGATATCCTTCTAACAAATGAGACAGTCATGGAAGTGGCAGGGGTCGTTCATCAGGGGTCGTTCCAACTACGAACAGGCTCGAGCTATGCAAACAAATGGCGAGACGCAACAGGCCCACATTGTTCAAACCATGGGAGAACCTCAGCAAACTAGTGCTTATACCACGCTTACACTTGATCTTGTTACAAAGTTGGTTTCTTTAGTCGATCCATCTCAATCAAATGAAAAACTCAAGGGTAAGTGTGTTAATTTTCAATGGCTTGTAGACAGTGGAGCTTCACAACACATGACAGGTTCGAAAGATTTGATGCAAGACATGAGGACTATATCACCTTTGCCCGTGAGTTTGCCCAATGGTACCATGGTTCTAGCAGAGCAACGTGGGAATGTGGTTCTTGATTCATCTTTTATTTTGCATGATGTTTTATATGTGCCACAGTTATGGTGCAATTTGATTTCTGTGTCCCAATTATTAAAAGAAACAAACAACAATGTGATCTTTTCCGACAATGGGTTGTGTATTGCAGGACCATATGCTGAGCCAGACGATGGGACTAGGTGACAACCGAGCAGGGGTCTATGTGTTTCACTCTGCCCAACCATTTGTTGCTGTTGTTCGCACTAGAGAAACCGCATAAGTATGGCACATACGATTGAGACATGCATCACATGAAGTTGTTTCTCTGCTTCCTTTTTCTAGTAGTTTGAATAAAGAAAATCAAAATAAGGCATGTGATATTTGTTATCAAACCAAACAAGTTCGTACTATGTTTCCTTTGAGTTTTAGTAACAGTAAAGCATGTTTTGATCTTATTCACTGCGACACATGGGGTCCTTATAAAACTTCATCTTACTTTGGTGCTCGTTATTTTTTGACAATTGTCGATGATTACAATAGAGCTATTTGGGTATACATGCTTGCAGATAAAAGTGAAACCTTTTCTAGGTTGCAAAAATTTATTCTCATGATTCAGACTCAATTTCAGAAAACAGTTGAGGTGATTCAGTCTGATAATGGCACAGAGTTCAATAATAATAATTTAACCAAGTTATACACAGATATGGGCATTTTAAGTCAAACGTCTAGTGTTCATACACTGAAACAGAATGTAAAGGTGGAACGAAAACATAGACACATACTTAATGTGTCCCGTGCATTGTTGTTTCAGGCAAACTTGTCGGTTGAATTTTGGGAAGAAAGTGTCTTGGCAGCCATCTATCTTATAAATCGAACCCCATCTAAGGGTCTTGGAGGTCGAACCTTGTCTCCATTCTAGCAACGGGAGCAAACACCTCGTCATAGTTGATTCCTGCCTTTTGCTTGTATCCCTTTGCAACAAGTCGCGCCTTGTACTGTTCTATCTTGCCTTGAACATTCATCTTTTTCTTGAACACCCACTTCACACCAATGGGCTGACTTCCTTTCGGCAATTTCGCTAACTCCCATGTCATCCATGGCAGTTTGCCACTTCTTATCTCGCACCGCCTCTTCAAAACTTACCCAAAACTTTAAGACATTGAGTGAGAGCCTTTTTAATGATTTATATTATATTCTCTAACACACCCCCTCACACAAGAGTCTTTGGGTTTGAAGCGTGATATGGCACAAGCCCATTATTGGTCTGCCTTGTGCTGCACAAGCCCATTTTTTGGTTTGCCTCGTGCTTTTCTTAATTCCACTTGAAAGTGGGGGGCGGTGAAGATCAAACTGTGACCTTATGGTCACTCAAGCTCTGATAACATCATAAGAGTCACTTCAACCCAAAACCTTAAGGTGTTGGGTAATGGCCTTTTTAATGATTTATATTATATTCTCTAACATTAAGTTATGCCATTTGATTAAAATATCAATTAATTAAGTTGTACCATAAACAAAAGAGTAATCTTGAAAGGGTACATATTCATATACAATACGCCCTCTTTGTGTAGGTAGCCGATGACCATGAATCGTTACACTTATCAATATTTTGAAATTATTAAACAAAGATTACTTACAATCGACAATTATAGGAAATTGGAAAAATCTTAATGTTGAATGGGAGGAAATTTAAATTGAAAAATTAATTTAATCTACAGACGTATTGTATGTCTATTAATAAAATAATCATGTGATGCCTCACCGGATGAGTATGATTGGACCTAAATAATTCCAAGATTTTAATAAAGTATTTTACAGCTTATTACCCAATAATACTAAGTTATTCAAGAAAATTTTGAAATTAAACAATAAATTTTACATTCAACAAAGTTTATGCTAATTCTCATTAAAAAATATTGAATGAGTGAAAGTTTTGAATCAAACAATTAAATTTAAACCTGCGCATTTGTGAATTTATTGATGAAATAGTTATGGCTGAAGTCCTAATGAATAAGCATAATATAATTTCGTTATATCGAACCTCGGTAAATTTAAAATCTTAGAATATTGTTGGTGGAAACTTACCAAGTGAAAACTTTCAAATTCAGAGAAACCATGGAATTAACAATGGGCAATCCTAAGCCAAATCCGATCGAGATGTCGAGATGTATGAATCCATGGGTCTAAGTGTCCATATAGATCCTATTCATGGATTAACGAAAATGTGCAAAAGCTCTATTCATTCCTGTTCGAAATGCAAGCAGTATTCATTCTTATGTGAATGGGAATGAAAAACAAGAGATACTCTTTCTCGAAATATGGACAAATGTAAGGTTGGGTTGTTCGCCCATTAAAACGGTAAGTGAGCTGGGTTCAGAACGTCGTGAGACAGTTCGGTTATAGCCCAACGTCGGCAATACTTAGGCGTTAAAGATAATTTTGAAATTAAACAATGGTTTCTACATTCAACTTTTATGAAATTATTAACCCTCTCAATGATGCTCTGTTAATTTTATGAAAGACCCAAATAACAATTTTAGTTATCACAAATGACTTGCCTAGCACAAGCTTTGTGAGGGAAACTAAAAGATTGTTAACAATAAATAATAGTAGTTAAGAAAATCTACTTGTTCTAAGTCTGTTTATTGTATTACTTGTTTGAAATTATGCGCCTTATATGATTTTCAAGGGCCATCGGGGGTGCATCAGACACCACGCGACGTGCAATGCTCTTTCAGCTGCTGGACCTTACCTTCGACTTAGACATTTCTAGGATTAGCAGTCTGTTAAATAGAAAAGATAACTCTTTTTTAGGTTCTCGCTGATGTCTTTGAACTCCTTAACGTTGTTGTCAATTGCCATGTGCAAGTGTCGTTTACATGTAACCTTTCCCTTGTAGCGACCTTTAAAGTTCTCATTTAAATATTTGCTACCACAACTAAGATTTTCTCTGACAACTGCTCCGCCTATGCTCATGCCTTGAGTTTTGCATCAATCGCCGCAAACTCCTACACTTTGATCTACATAAATGACTTGCCTAGCATAAGCTTTATGAGGGAAACTAAAAGATTGTTAACATTAAATAATAGTAGTTAAGAGAATCTACTCGTTCTAAGTCTGTTTATTGTATTACTTGTTTGAAATTGTGCGCCTTGTATGATTTTCAAGGGCCATCAGGGGCGCATCGGATACCACGCGACGTGTCATGCTCTTCCAGCTGCTGGACCCCACCTTCGGCTGAGCCATTTCTAGGATGAGCAGTCTGTTAAACAGAAAAAATAACTCTTTTTTAGGTCCCTGCCAATGTCTCTGAACTCCCTAAAGTTGTTGTCAACTGCCACATCCAGGATCATGAATTTTAACCCTAATCCCTTTTGGAGTGCGTGCTTAGAGTACTATCAGACGAGCTTCCCTCGTCACTTAGGATCGACTAACCCATGTGCAAGTGTCGTTCACATGTAACCTTTCCCTTATGCGGCCTTTAAAGTTCTCATTTAAATATTTTCTACTACAACTATGATTTTCATTGATGACTGCTCCGCCCATGCTCACGCCCTGAGTTTTGCATCAACTACAGGAGACTTGACTCAAGTATAACGTGTTTAGAAAAAACGTTTGAAACTTTTCATATTACTTTAAGAGGAGGGTTATATTTATAATTTTTGTTTTATAAACTATACTATGTACTAGGGATAGTACATTATGTGTTGGAATGTTCTACCCCTAGTACATTAAAAAAGTTTGTAAATAGAATTTTTTTCTTTAAAAATGTATTCTTGATATGAAATTTGTGCTAGTATCTTTGGTAATTTTAGAATAAAATAAATTTTATATCGAAATTATGATTTAATTTCTCAATCACAATATATTTGGAAAAATCTAACTAATATGTGTTAACCAAAATATTCTCATAATTTAATATTATATTATTATTTTATCAATATTTATATACCTTTATTGATACTTATGCATATAAAAATAATTTTTATCAATAAATTCTAACATTACTTTGATCAAAATTGATTTGTACATAAAAATTTACCAAAATAAATTACTATTTATAAAATCACTTCTCAACAAAATCAAATTTGAGAAACGAAGTTTAAGCAAAACAAAATTTACAAATTCTAATACAAACCCATACGTAAAGTTTGATGAGAAGAAAGATGTGCTGAATAGCGCGACAGGCCTTGGGCTTAGAGGTGGCAAAGCGGGCTGCCCGCCCCGCCCCGTCCCTGCCCGCCAAAAGTCCGTCAAAAAGCGGGCTGACCCGCCCCGCCCCGCCATTGAAAGTGGGCTAGATATCTCTGCCCGCCCAGCCCCGTTTGGGCGGGCTGCCCGCCAAGCCCGTCACATTTTACACTAAAAATAAAAAAAAAAAATCAGCCCGGGCGGGCTGGGCGGGCAGCGGGTCTAGAAAACTCAGCCCACCCCGCCCCGTTTGGCGGGCGGGGCGGGCCGGCCCGGCGGGCTCGGCCCATTTTGCCAGCTCTACTTGGGCTTGAGAGGGGGGAAGCCCAGTTATAACTTAAATGCAATTTTTTTTCGAGTAAATATCATTTTTGGTCCTCAGCAAATTTTATGATGTCCGCTTTAGTCTCTTGCAAATAAAAAAGTTATTTGTGGACTAAAACGGATATCGTGAAATTTGACGAGGATGAAAAATGATTTTTTTTTTTTTTGTTCTTTTCAGGATAGAGTTTATACGAACTGATCCGGTTTTAAGTTTGTGTGCGAGAGGGATAAAGAGATATGCCCACGTTCTTAAAATAATTTCAATTTTGATAAATAATTATTTTATAATTTTTTAGAAAATGGATTTTTTAAATACCAATGACGGAAAAAATCATAGACTAACAATATAAAAAGTCGTGAAATAATGTTAATTATAAAAAATAGTTCATTTTACTGCATCGTCTTTCATTGAGATACTTAAAATATTAATATCAATTTATTATTATTTTCTCTCACTTATTCATATTAGGGATAAAATTTAAGAAATTAATATTTCAGTGATTTTTTTAAAAACAAGAAGGAACAAAAATACTTTTTAAAGAGAATAAAATATAATAAAAGGATTAAATATTTTCTTTATTGAGTATTTTTTTTTTTATATTTCTGTTTGGTTAATCAATTGCTTTATATATTTTAAACTAAATATAATTTTAAAATAATACTATTTTAAATCATTTGTATTTCTTAAAAATTTTACTAAATTAAAATAATAAAATACTATTCATTAAGGAAAGATTCATTAACTTGGAACTAGGGGTGTTAACGGGGCGAACCGAGCCGAGCTTTGGTCTTAAAAAGTTAAGTCTGTGTTTAAATGTGTTAGCATGACATAGCTTGTTGCCTGTTATAAATATAATTATCGGCCTGTGGCCTGACTTATTTACAAAAAATAAAAGCCTGGTTTAGCCTGTAAGCCTGTTTAAAAAAATAAAACAACAAAAATTTATTCAAACAAAATATATGATCCACAACACTAATAATTTCACAAAGATTCACAAATTCAATGTATATCCAAAAAGCATAATATAGAACAAAATCATTTAAAAAGTCTGTTTAACCAATAAAATGGGGTGAAATGGATTGAGGAGCGAGAGATGACTATTATGAATAATATAAAAATATAAAATAAAAATAAAAATTAATATACAAGGTCATCCTGAGAGGCTTTAAGGCCGAACTTTTAAATTAAAGCCTAAAGCCTTTTTGTTATACGAGCTTTTATATAAATTCAAGCCTAATTCCAACAATCAATTTTAGACATATAAACTCAGCCGACCCAAAAGCTTCTTAAAAGTGTCTGATTTGTTCTGTAACGCCACAACGTATGGCCCAAATAGCATTTATTTTTAATTTTTAATTTTTAATTTTATATGTTGTCACATGTTGGGTTAGCATTTCTCAACCAACCTCGTTGGTATCTTCTCAGCTTTCACTTCTTTATCTTTAAAAATCTCAACCAATCCTTCAATCTCTTCTAAACCTCATAGTTCCCTTCAGTTCCTTTCTCTTCCAATTCAAATATTCCAATGGCATGTTCAGCTACCTCTGCAACTCTGTCTCTCTTTTCTTCAAACCCCAAAGCTCTCTTCTCTCCCAAACCCACTCTTTCCACCCCGAACTCCTTCAATGTCACTGCTCTTCCAAGACCCTTCTCACGACCACTCTCCATTTCCATCAATCGCGCCTCTCACTCTCGCCGTAGCAACACCTTCCTCGTCAAGGCCTCTGTAAGAATTTTCATTACCTATTTTGCCCTTTTGCCTCATTATTTAATTGAAGTTACTTACTCTGCCTCTGAAGTAAAAATATTGTTTTTTTTTTTTTTGGGGGGGGAAAAATAAATAGAGTGAGCTTCCATTAGTTGGGAATACAGCACCGGATTTTGAAGCAGAAGCTGTTTTTGATCAGGAGTTTATCAAGGTAGAATATAACTACTAATTCTTAGCTTGCGAAAATGTTGTTTTGTTTTATTTGGTTATTCTTTTTTTGTTTTTTTATTAATAGCATTGTTATTTCAGGTGAAGCTATCTGAATACATTGGGAAGAAATATGTTATCCTCTTTTTCTACCCATTGGACTTCACATTTGTTTGTCCCACTGGTTAGTTGACATCTTAGTAAACTATAATTAGGTTGAGATAGTTGTGCATTTACCAATGACGAGCCTCAAATATTTTTTGGAGGGGGGCAAAATTATAATGTAGATTTTTTCTTTCAAGTTATAACTATTTATATGACAAAGATTTGTATGAATTTTGAAGGGGGCGAGCAATAAAAAATTAGAAATAATGGTCACTTTTAAATGTTTATATAAAGGTCCCTTTTTTCTTATGTTGCGGCAACCGAAATACATAGTTATAATTGTAAAGCTATTTTTTTTTTCGCTCTCGAGAAGTTGTATGCCGAAGAGGAGAGAGAAAAAAAAAAACAGTTTTCTGATTATAAATATGTATTTTCGGGAATACATAGTTATAATGGTTGCATTTTTTTTGCAGCAAAAGAAGTGCATTTCCCTTATATAAATTTGCACAACTATAAAGATTTTGAACGACCTTACTAATCCCTCCCTCGCTCCACCACTCGCATATACTTTTCTTTCCTTAAACTTCTGCTACTTGTTTGCAGAAATCACTGCTTTTAGTGACCGGCATGCAGAGTTTGAGGAACTAAATACTGAGATATTGGGTGTTTCAGTTGACAGTGTGGTGAGTTGGTTTGACCTGTTATTTTTATCATTATTGCTGACTTAGTTAATGTATGTGTATATATATATATGTATTTTTGCCTGATGTTGTATTAGCTGGTGAAGAAAATAAAGCATATGCAAAGGATTAGGTCTACTTTCGGCCTTCATACAGTTTAAGTATTGGTTTTAAAGGGATAAACTATGCTAAGAGCATAATTGGTAAAAGTTAAAATTTGCTGTGTACTGTGTTTTTATTTATCTCTGAAAGCTTGCTGTATAGAGTAAGAGTATGGTCAAGAGGAAATTACTTCATAAATAAATGAGAAGGGAAATATCTGAGTTTAAACTTCACTCAAGCTTAGATAATTGAAATTTGATATTCTTGATCTATGGATGTAATGAGATTCATGGTACTCGTAACGTTAGGCAAAAGAACTTTGCATACATGTCCTTGAACAACAAGGTTCTTTGTGTTGGAATCTAATAGGTTCTATATGTTTCTCATGTCTGTGCCATAGGCATAGCCTATCTAACGGGAACTCCAGAGTTTGTTTCTTCTTGATTAGTGATGCTGTTATTATTATTGTAGTTCTCGCACCTTGCATGGATTCAAACTGATAGAAAGTCAGGTGGTCTTGGTGACTTGAAGTATCCTTTGATTTCTGATGTCACCAAATCCATATCGGAATCTTATGGTGTTCTTATTCCTGATCAGGTATGTTCTGACATGAAACTAGTTCTCAAAATTGTTACTTATGTAAAACTGGATTATAAGAAAACAGCAAAGGTCTAGTTTGTCTGTTGTCTCTTCTCTCTCTTAACGGACCCAGTAAAGGTATATTATGTTTCTTATGAGGCAGTGTCTACCCTTTGTATAATTTGCCAGTTATCAAATCAAGTTTTTATTTGGTTTTTTAAGGCCTTGAACTACGCCGTGCTTTTTCCTTTCTCAACCCTTTTATTTTATGCTTGAGTTTCAATGTTCTCTGGAATGAAATTTAGGATGCTTTCTAGTAAACAGCTTTAGTAGGTAGCATCAAGTGGTCAGATGTTGGTATTGAAACTATTGCCTTTCATTCCACTTTTTGGGACTTGTTTCATAATGACTCCAAATATATCCAATGATATAGGGAATTGCATTGAGAGGATTGTTCATTATTGACAAGGAAGGGGTTATCCAGCATTCTACCATTAACAATTTGGCAATTGGTAGAAGTGTTGATGAGACAAAGAGAACACTCCAGGTAATTTTACACTTAATTAGGACAAGACCAAGATTGAACGATATTTAGAATATTTCCTTCTTTTTTTCCTTTTTACTTTCTATCGTTTCCATAATTTCCTTTCCCCCTTTATGTGCATTGGTCTTGCAGGCCTTACAGTATGTGCAGGAGAACCCAGATGAAGTTTGCCCTGCTGGGTGGAAGCCTGGGGAGAAGTCCATGAAACCAGACCCTAAACTTAGCAAAGAATACTTTGCAGCGGTGTAACGAGTATAATAGTTATGAGTAACCATGCGTATCTGTATCAATTAGTGGGTTGTGAAAGGGTCTTGATTTTAATGTAATGTTAGTCCTTAAATTTTGAGCCTCAGGGTGTGATAATAAATGCATGCTGCTGTACTGTATTTTGAAGTGTACTATGTATTAATTTGCAATTTCTTTGGATAATGGTATCTGTATCTCATGTTTGTATCCGAACCATATCTTTTTGCCAAGAGGCTTGTTAATGTTATCAACCCTTGCAAAATGGGAAATTGTCACTTTGATAAAATGAAAATGAGAAGCTAAAAAAGGGAGTGAAAATAAAGTTTAAATGAAAAAAATTCAAATTAAATTTCTACTAAAACAAGCAACAGCATCTAAAATTTCTTGAGCTGAGACATACAACTTCCCCTGTATGCTGGAGTATATATTTTTTTAATTATTATTTTACAACTTCTTGTGGGGGAGTGTTGAAGTGGTTTGTCCATAGCAATTCTGGTAAATGGTGAGGTTTTGGGCCAGAATTTGCTACTTAGCATCATCATCCAAATTTTGCTTAATTAATATAAATAAAAAGAGTAAATGGTGGCGTGTAGTGCAGGATGAAGAAGTATGTCACTACCTAAGAAGGGCCTCTGTGCTTAGCTTTGACATCCCTATCCTCAAGACCACTATCCCAAAGCCACCATTAGAGAAAACCAGAATGCTATATTCTCCACTTCAATGAGTGGACCTGATGAACAATGGTGAAGGGTGGAGCAAGTTGAAACCTTTAGAAGCCTCACTTGCAGCTTTACGGCCACTTGACCTGACAGAAGACAACGTGAGACAGGTTTTGGCTGATGCTCCGAGCGAGTTGGGTCAAATCTTTGACACTTCTGTTAGTATCTACGGGTATTAGTTTGTTCAGGCCTACTTGAACATTGTGTTAGTTGGGCATTTGCGGTAAGGTAATAATATCATGGGATATACATACCCTTTTGAATTTATTCAGGAAAGGTTGAACTGGTGGAGTTGGATGGACATTTCGGGAAGATTAACCATGTATGTTCGGCCTAGGTAGGTAGACTGATGGGTTAATGATAAATTGATAATATGAATCAAGCTAGATTGGTATGGATGAATCAGGACTCTTCAATGATAAGTATAGGGTGTAATGTGGTGGTTTTTGCTGTGTGCTTCGGTGGAAAAAAGCTGGTGGTGTGTCATTTGTGAAGTGCTAAAAGGAGAGAGTTTATGAGAATGCAATAGCAAAAATGGCCGAAAGTCCTTGCTCTAGAGCATGAAAGTGTGTATATAGTTGGTTGTGCAAGAATCTAGAATGTGTGAAGTGACACAAACGATTTTACATGTGAGTGAATGAGCCAAACGCGAGGAAACATGGGAGCAGTGGCGAAAAATGGTTATTTGGAGAAAAGTGAGAGATATTCTTTGATATTGAAGTTTTGTTTTGTTGTGTAACGAAGAGGGGAAATAGCCAAATAGGCCGTTTAAGGGCCAATCCATCCATCCAGAACAAGCCAAAGGGCCAGTTTTAGCACAGGGGTTCCACCGTCCTAGGGAGAGTTAGTAACTATCTGAAACACAACACAGCATTCCAGTAAGTGCCTTGTGGTTCTTTTATTTATGTTTTATGGCAAAAATTGTAGAACCCACCTTTAGCGCCTTGTGTGGGTGTCTTTTAGGTATTAATAATAATAAATTTTAAAGGAAAAAAAAAGTTATAAGTATAACCTACCTCCAAAAATTAAGTGTGGAAATATTACACTCCACGGTTTCCTCACAAAATAGGAAATATAAAAAAACAGTTTTTTAGTTTTTAAAAGAAAAAAACATGTTTAAAACTTATTGTTTTTGTAAAATAATTCCCAAAATAATAATAATAATAATTTTGTAGTTTTCAAACTAAAAAAACAAATTAGAGATGTTTTGTTATTTTTACTAGGAAAAAATATTTATCCTCTTTTTTTTTTTTTGGTGTGGAATATTTATCCTTTTAAAAGACAGTCATTTTTGTTAAAATTATTATTTTTATTTAATATTTAAATTAAAAAAACTCATTTTCTCCTACAATGATTTCTATTGTGTAACTGTTTCTCTCACCATAAAACACAGTAATTTTGACTAAAATGATACAATTTTATATCATTTTAAAAGGAAAAAACTAATCTCTTTTAACCGTGGTAATTTTGAAATTATAAAATTCATTAATGATATTTTTATATAAATTCAATTTCTTTTTAATTATTTTACGATAGCAATATTATAATTATAGAAATTCATTAATCACATTCTAATAAATAAATATAATTTACTTCAAAATCAATTTTCAAGCTTTCAAAAAAAATTATAATAAAAAAATTATGTTCCAACGTGCCGAGACTTCTATCTCTTTTCTCTTCTATTTTCTTATACAAGTTGAGCCATACCTCATTCTTTCCTCACATTCAAAATATGAATTCGCTACACTTTGGTGATCCCTACACTTTGAAAGGATTAGTCTTCGGTTGTCGGCAGGGCGATACTGTTGGGATAAATTTTAAATGTCCATTTTTTAGCAGTTTTGGTTATTTAGTTTCTTGTGTCAGTTAGAATATTAATGAGTCAATTATGTCAGTTAGAATATTAATGAGTCAGTTATGTCAGTTATAAAGTAACGAGGATGTTATGTGTGGAGTTATGTTGGTCAGTTTTATAGCTTATAAATAGCCTTTGATAGTTTGTATGAAATGTAGATCAAGAGATCAAGAGAAAAAAGAAAAAGAGCAAGAATAGAAAAGAAAAGTTTTTTTATAGATACACTTGTGTGGTTGTCTCTTGCATCTGTGTGGATATTCAATTCTACAAATTGGTATCAGAGCTTGGGCTATGGAGAAAAAGAGCGAGTTGGAAGTGCCACTCTTCCATGGAGATAAGGATGAAGCATTAGATTGGCTTCTCTGTTTGAAGGAACATTTTCGGAAAGAAAAAATATGGACGGAGGACAAATGGCAGGTAGCCATGAGAAGACTCAGAGGAAGCGCAATCAAATGGTTTCGTACATGGAACTGCCACGACTTTAATAATATGTGGAAGGATTTTCTAATGGCCTTCATAACAAAATACTTGCCTGGACGGTTTGATCTGATTGATGAAGAAGAAGATGAAATCTTCAATGATGATGATGAAGATGAGGAAAATGATGCGGATGAAGAAGAGACCGAGATGGTGGAATCCGAGGTTGCCAACGGCAACGCATCCGCGGAGGAGATTGACGTGTCAGAACGCGTAAGAGACGACTCGGAGAAGAAGACGATGGAGATGACTGCGGCCGAAGGAGCCAAGATAGAAGAGGAGGAGAACAAGGGAGCCGAGATAGAAGAGGAGAACGAAGGAGCTGAGATAGAAGATGAGGAGAACGAAGGAGCCGAAATCGAAGCGGAGAAGGACGGGAACAACGAGTCCATTGTCAAGGTAGAAAACTTCGTGGAACCTGAGACCGGCATGGAGGAGACCGCGAATCCGAGTTCTGTGTTGATAACCGGGATGGGGGAGATCCCGGCTAAATCACCGAGTTCATGTTTTGGAGAAGAGCTCGACCCCGGCGTGATGAGGTTGATGTCGGAGACCGACATAGACGCAGTTCGGGTTGGAAGTCAGAAGTCGGAGAATGCATTGAATTTATGGTGGAAGTGGAAGATGTCGACACCACTGAAAAAAGACCATTTCCCTGGAGGACGGTGGTCTGAGATTCTATTGATGAGGCGCATGGAAGCTGGACTCGATGAAGAAGAACCCGGCGATGAAGAAACCGAGAACGGCGAAAAAATGGAAGGTGCATTTGAAGAAAAGGATGTGGTCTTGAAGAGAAAAAGAGGTTTTGTTGACAATACCAATGATGCAGAAATTGGGATTGGACGAGGAAATAAAATTGTGAAAGCAACTGATGAAATGGCGAATGAAACTGAGAAGAATTTGGGTGACGAGAAACTTGCAGGTGAAGAAGATGCAGCGAATGGAAACAAGGAAAGTTCTGCTAATGAAACTGAAAATATCAAATTGAAGAAGCCACCGGATAAAATAAAATATGTTCAGAATGAAACTGAAAATATCAAATTGAAGAAGCCGCCGGACAAAAATAAAATATGTTCAGAAAAATAATTGCAGGGGAGATATTTTCTTTGAGTTAATTAAGTTGGAAGGTGGTAGATGTTTTTTGTAAGTGATCAAGATTGAAGAAAACAGGCGCGATCAGAAAGTTGAAGAAAAGCAGAAACAATGCGAAGAAAGAAAGAAGAATTTAAAATTTATGGGGGAGTTTTGTTGGGATAAATTTTAAATGTCCGTTTTTTAGCAGTTTTGGTTATTTAGTTTCTTGTGTCAGTTAGAATATTAATGAGTCAGTTATGTCAGTTAGAATATTAATGAGTCAGTTATAAAGTAATGAGGGTGTTATGTGTGGGGTTATGTTGGTTAGTTTTATAGCTTATAAATAGCCTTTGATAGTTTTTTTATAGATACACTTGTGTGGTTGTCTCTTGCATCTGTGTGGATATTCAATTCTACAGATACCCTAAGTTATACTCAAAAAAATATGAATTCCAATTATTTTTTCTTTTTCCATTCAAGCCATCACCTCTAATCATTGAAGGAAACCAACCAAACCTCATTTATTTTCCTCTCCTCTCAGTATCCTCATTCTCATTGCAGTTGGTCAAGACATCTTGTCCTGAAGGGCTTGGAAGTGGGGGAAAAACAAAATTGAAACGATCTGATACTTGTGTTGTGACCTGGTCCCTCAATCAACGCTAAGTAACTTTTAGGTCGGTGCGTCGAGCTCGCAGCTCGACACTTCGAGGTCGCCCTGAAGTCACCTAGGCCAAAATGTAGAAAACAAGAAAAATGCAAAAATGAATATGGAAAGAAAAACACAACAAATTTTAACATGGAAAACCTTCTCTTATACAAAGAAGTAAAAATTACGACATCAAGTCTAGAAAAATCTTCCTCTATGAGTAGTAGGATTACAAAGGATTCAAACCTCTCTAATTACACTAAGGGCACAAACATCACCAACAATGGTTTTTTTTTCAAAGAGGCCCGACACTCAAACTTCTATTTAGAGGATTTTAAACTCTTAAAAATACCTCCACTTATTACAATAGGTTTCATATGATTTATAATGGTGAAGAGAACCTTACACTTTCTTCTAAAATCTACCTCAATAAGGAGGTGGGTAACATTCATTGAGGTGG